GACAGATAGAGTGGATGCACATTGTCTCAGTGCGAGGGGGCGGGATGCTTTCCTCTGCAGCAGCAGCAGGGGCCCTACTTTCTACAACATCTCCCTGCCATCTTTCTCTCAGGGTGCTTTTCATTGCACTAACTTATGCTTCCTTGCATCCTCTGTCCTCCTGTGACCCAGAAATTGTTCCCCCTCCACCATTGTGGTGGATCTTTCAATCCCTTTTAGTCGAGTGAAGAATTCTTTTAGAACCATTTTTAGATCACGTCCCTGGTCATGTTGTAGGCTACCCCAATTTAACAATACATGGCAAAACAAAATACAAAAAAAACCATTTTCTATCTAATATTCTTGGTATTTTTTTAAATCAGAATTCAATCACTTTATTCCTGTAAAACACAATGTGATGTGTGCTTATGTAAGGATAAACCAACCAGTTTCCACTAATATTCCACCCATCAATCAATCAAACGTTTAGCAACACAGAGCTAAGATTCTTTACTTAGCTAGCAACAGCAGCATTGGGAGTGTTTTTGGGCACCGTGCCTCGCTGTTTACTGTACAACATCAGTGATTGTGGTCAAACTACACCATATTTTATGGAGAAAATATATTCTGGTTTTCCCCCTCACTTCCTCCGGCTGCTGTGCCTCAACACTAACTGCTAATGTAGCTGCTGTTAGCATGCAACAGAACCGGGCCCAGCAGACCCTCAGCAGACGGAGGACAGTTTGACGACAACGGTACAGATGTGATTTATATTTTATTAATGTAGTTTCCAGATGGACTTGTTGCTAAAAATATCAAACTGCCACTAACTGTGTAATGTTAACTACCGTAAGCTAGGCTAACTGTGCAGCTAACATTAGCTGACTCATCCCGGTGGTGCCAGGAGTCAAACCCTCGAGAGAAAACCACCTCGGTACGTTCTGTTCATTGGTACTTTAAATGCACCTTGAGGTTTCTGGAGAAGCTTAGGGCAAAATGTTGGCTTATTGGCCAGCTAACAACGGATGTAGCTGGCACATAGACAAGCCTAGCACAAACGCTTCGGCTCCTCCGTCCTGGTGTCTCTTCATCGCACCTCCTCTGACGTCCTCGCTCAGAAGACGAGCTAAGACACGAGGAAAGGAAGCGAGCGAGGAGCCATGTTAGCATAATGAAAAGCACCCTCTGTCTCTCTCTCCATGTGCGTGAGTTCTTGCCATTTCCTCTCAGCACAAGTGTCACAGTATGGCCCCATCCTCCACCAGCAGCCTGACAAATAACCTATTGTGTTGCCATGTTGTGAGCCACCAAAACCGCTCGACCTGGCATGGCACCCTGCAGCTCCGCTCTCCACACAGATCACAGAGCTCTGGTTGGATACTGTTTCTGGGCCTGTATTTATCAAACTGCTGAAAGGAAAAATTAGACAAAGATAAAAGTAGAAATCCTCAACTTCTAATCCTACTTGTAAGCGTGATGATGAATAATATGTTAGCTGCAGCAGTTACTGTGTAATATTTTTGCACCACTTTTAACCATTTTAAAAATGATTAGGGGCTCAAACAGGAAGAATAAAGCTGATATTGGTTTTGTGTACAATCATGTTCCATGCATCTGCATTGTCTGCACATCGTCATTAAAGTCTCCTCATTACGCAGTACGTGTTTCCGTTCCGTCCGCTACCAGCAGCAGAATCTTACTGTTCCAGTTAAATTTATATTTTTCATTAAAGCCAGTTCCTAATTATTTTATACCTATTTATATATTATTAATTAGATGGTTTTTAAATCCACATGTAAATAGCTAGTGGAGATTTTTAGATTTAAGATTTCACACAAATAATAAAACAAAAACTTAAATAAGATTCATTTTTGTTGCCAATAATAATAGTAAACCAATAAGTAGGATAGTAGTAGAATAAACATAAACAGGCAGACAATGGCTCTTAAAGATTACTCCTACGCTTCGCTGTAAGTGCAGTCGGAGGAAGCGGCTTGATAAATGTGTGTTACTGCTCAAGCTCAGCAAAGAGTCTCAGTCTGGGCTGTCATAAGACTAAATTGTGTAATTCTTTGATAAATACGGACCCTGGGCTGCACTTTGTGTCATTGGTAGTTCTCTGTAAACCATCATATCACACCACACTGATACAATTTAACCACTAATGTTCTGTTTTCTGCCGAAGACGACCCAGAGATGCTAGATTTTATATATTCAGGTTCAGAGTTCTCATCCTGAATTGAGCTGGGATGAGACTGCGAAAACTGGAGGCGCTATCAGGTACTTTTATGAATGTATCAAACGCTTGACAGATCCTGGATTTAAAGGCCAATATTAATATTTGGGCATTGAAATGTTGTGTTTAAATGTATCTGTACGTTTCTGTGTGGAATATGTCCCTCTGGTACAATAAATACTATCAATTATTATTTCCCTTATATTTAGCGTTTGTTCTGAGCGGCACATTTTACAGTGTAAAGATCGACTTGTCAGTGCCCTGTGGTGGATGGACGATGTAATGGAGACATGGTTTCTAAATGACCTCAAACATTCTGTCAGACATGTACAACCACAAGAGTGCCTCTTTTTCAGAAATTACAGCAAATAATTATCTTGAATAATAATTCACTTTTCTTTGATTTAAAAAAAACCAAATGGTGGTATGGAAGGGAGGTGGGTGTAACTGCCCACATTAGGCCATACACTCCTGAAAAAAGATAAGTGCAAAAAATCCGACCTGTATGTGATGTAGACCACATACGAAAGTGGAAACCTTTCTCATCAGTGTGACCTCAGTATGAATAGTTATATCAGAATTCAGCATAGATTGACATTCATCATGTGACCTGTTCACACTGGAATCTGATATGGGCCACAATCAAAAAATACTATGAACAGCCAAATAAGAAAAAAAATCAGATCTGAGCAATAAATCAGGATTGAGCATTAAAGCTAACGTTTACACTTGCTTTAACACTGAAAACTAAATACAGCTGAGACTGATTTTGGTCATAAACCAAAGTTTTTAACAAATTATAGTGAAAGTATCACCAAATTGATTACAGTTTATCTTGAGGGGGAGTTGAATGTCTGAACCTAATTGAAATTGACAAATGTAATGTCAGTAAAAGTATCATAAGATTCATCATCTGGGAACAATGAATGTCTTAACCACATTTTATGCAAGTCCATCTGCTTGCACCTCTGTCTGTCTGTCTGTCTGTCTGTCTGTCTCTCTCTCTCTCCCCAGCTGGTCGAGACAGACGACCACCCACCTAGAGCTGAAGGATCTGTCCTAGGTTTCTGCCTTTTAACAGGCAGTTTTTCCTTGCCCTTGTCTCCAAGGTCTTGCTCATGGTGGTACTGTTGGGTCTCTGTAAATAATGTTAAAGAGTTCGGTCTAGACCTGCTCTATTTGAAAATAGAGATAACTTCTGTTATGAATTGGCGCTATATAAATAAAATTTAATTGAATTGAATCTGCTGTAGTAGATATTAAGATATTTCATAGGATAAGGGAAAGTTTGGCCTGCAGGTGGCGCTAGAGGACAAGTCATGGGATATAAAGCTATTAGGATTCCTCCTCTGTTAACCTTCAATGTCTGAACCAAATTTCATTGCAATCGTTGAGGTATTTCAGTCTGGAGCGACAGATCAGACAGACACAGCCAATCAGCCTTTCAATGTAGGAGTGAATTAAGATGAAGCTGACATCCTGCTCTCCATACGGTCCTTGCTGGGTTCAGATGCACTGCCTAAGCAAGGCGAGGAATATCTGATATGACTGAAAGAAATTACAGCACACAGCTACAGTATGTAAATCCAACCCCAACAGACACCACAATAGTAAAATGTGTCTTGTGTGATGACTTTTCAGACGAGTGGGGGGCACTGACTGAGGGAGAGGATGCTTTACCTGCAGATGAAACGTCTAAAACTGCTACCACTTCACTGTGCCGCTCTAATTTCCAGAGTGCTTTTCTTTTTATCATCGCCAGGCGTTAATAGAGTTCAGAGCATAACAATGTGGTACGAGTGAATGTCACATCAATTTCATAAGCATATCGAAAAACTGCACGTTTTCATTTGACTGAGACTCCAGTCGGACTTATCTCCGAGAAGATGTCCCACTTTAATAGAAAGTGATGCTGTGTATTCTGCCTGCCACCCTAAGGCAAGAAATGTCTCTGCAGTATGATTCCCTTCATCTAGCACGCTCTCCTTCCCCCCAGCTCCTTTTCTCTCATATCTCACCTTCTTTCTCTCCTTCTTCTCAGCACCCTCAGCCTGTCCCATGCTGCTTCGTTGCAGGTTATAATAAAGCTGAAAATCCTCTGTATGGCACTACAAAGCAGGCTGTATATTCACAGGAGATCATTTCAAAGACAGTTAATTAAAGGCGCTCTCCAGCCAGCCAGTGTCAGTGCTCTGTGCATTCTGAACTGAAGCCAGTGATGGAAAAAGAAGGGTTCAGACACAAAGGATGCAGGGGGATCCTAGCTGGGTATACTGCTCTGCATGTCACTATAGATTGGTATCAAATCAGGCCAAGAGAATGATTCTCTATATGATAGAAGTTGCACCTCGAAATATTTTAGGCATTTAAGTTTGTAAGCATTAGGTGTTGTGCACCCTCCCACAAGAGTGCAGGGCTCACTGACAGGATGTGAGTGAAGCAATTAATGCTCCAGAATTAGGCAGGAGTCTCTGAGGTATATTTTATTTGTTAACCCTTCCAACTGTGGTAGCAGCTGCTCCAAGTCTACAGACAACATCCTGGCTGGCCTGTTCTCTTCCACTGGGAATATGACAGTTATCAGGGAAGTTCAAACCAATCATCACATCACCTGTGATGTCAGCTTTCAATCAAAGTCCTTAACTGACCCTTCCTGTTCCACCCTTTTTGGAACCTAGGTCACCTTGGCACTTCCGTGTGTGCTTCAGTTGTCAACCATGGAGGTTGCCACTTAGTATATAGTGTCACTTTTTTTTAACCTTAATGTGTCTTCTCTCTTTTACAGTGTGTTGAAGCCAAAAAGTACTGCTGGTATTTTGAAGGCGGATACCCCATCTACTTCATGTAAGTATCACAGTGTTCCACTCATACTACTTTAAACCAATTAACTTGAAACTGTGCACAAAAATCTTGAATGTCCATAATTATGACCGCTACATACAGTAGAGCCTGACAAAGCACAGACTGAGACACAGTGCCAGAACCAGACTTTCTAGATGACGTGCGTTATGGCAGGTTTTTTTTACTCCTTCATCCATACAATGTTTCAATAGGACCTCACAGCAAGAAGTGCTGAAAATGTCTGAATGTGTTGAAGAAAAACTATTAGTTTTTGGTACTGCTGACTGAATGACACTGTCTACACCTCCCGGTTCAAAGGCCTAGCATTTACCTCAAGACCACCAAACTACAATTGTTGTTTAATTATCCTTACATTTTTCTAGTTCATTGATATTTATTCCAGCTTTAATAATTAGTTGAGATATTCTTATATTTTTAATTGCTGTTCTCTCTCATTCCAAGGGAAATTTCACTCTCAATCAGAAGAAGAGAAGAGTGTTTTTTTCTCTCTTGCCATAAGCAGTGAAGGATACGTTAGTTAAAGCCCCCTCCAGTCAGAAGCTGTTACCATATCAGACACACGTTATTGTCCCAAGCACGCTGTTTATATGTCTTAATACGTGTCTGGAGGGGATTAGCTGATGTTTGTGTGTAACAAACATTAGCAGGAGCTCTCCTTTTTTCCTGCAGACCCTCTGTTTTGTGCTCCTGCCTCTGTAGATTTATGCAGTCATACAGTTTGGAATAACTGCACATTTTCTCTCAAGCTGAAATTGGCCGCTGTTGATGCTGTGCAGGTAGCATACACTCTTATTTTCTTAGAGGTTGATAAGCTGTGACACACAACCACCCACCTGTTTTTATGCACATTTTCAATTTGTGCATCAGAGCCTGAGTAGAAACACTGGAAATATTGGAAAAAACTGTTTTTGAGCTTGGCTGAGGTGGTGAGTTGGTGTATAGAGAAAAAGAAAATCGAAACAACTTAATGAATAAATGATGAGGATGACTTAAACATCACTCAAGCTTCCAGTGAAGAGTTGAATGTGAATCAAATGTGTGTGGACCAATGAGGAGACTGTAACCTTCCTACATCAATCCACAAAGCAAACAGAAAGGTGATGTTTCCACCAGGTTTTCCACATGGCTGTAGATCATTTGAGCTTTGACTGGAGTTTTTATTTATTGAATTCTCTTCTTCTGCAATGGTTTAATGGCACTGGCTGGAGAATTAGCTCCACCACCTGTTTATACAGTGTGCATGAACCAGCTCCTAATATTCACACAACAGTAGTGGATAGGAATGTGCACTCATTTACATTTTGCTTTGCCAATTTTTTGTAAATTGGGTTACAATTTGCGCTACATTTGGATGGAAACCTGGCTCCTGTGTCGGCTGGAATATCAGACAGAAGCTACACTCTGTGTTGAGCTGCAGAGTGCACTGTTGAATCTCAGTGGGTTCATCAACATGTGCCTCCCTCGCACACTAATCAAAATCCAATTCAGCTTGATTAAATTGCTTGCCGGGGCTTTTAGCTCTGCTACTCACCGTTTTGGGAAGCAGCGTTTGTTTTACTGATGCAGACAGGCATTTCCAACACTCATCCATTTAGTTTGCTTTCTAGCTGCTGGCCACAGCTACAGCGGTGATTAGGAGGAGGGCGAGAGACACAGAGCATCAGTGAAGAGAGATTACCTTGGTGATGAAAAACAACCGAGAGGGACAAACCTCCTTTCTCCTCCACTTGCTTTCTCCTCGTCCTCTCAGACCTCAGTTTGTGTTTCTCTGTCCAGCTTCTTTTTCTGCTAACCATCCACAACATGTTCAAATAAGTTAATGACAAAGAGGAAAAGAGAAGTGTTGTGCATAGTGTCTATATGTCTGTGTTGATAATAAGTGATCACAGATGTTATACTGTGTTGCTGTATGAACAAAACAAAAACAAAAAGGAAACAGCACTTAAATGACACTCCAGCATTGATGTGGTTTGCCTACTCAGCAGATGTTTTGACAGGGACATTTCTACTTTTCCAAGTTGGAATGAACAGAATATCTTGTGAGTGTCAAAGCTCTGCTCTTTGACGGCTGTTTGTAAAAATGTCTGTGAGCTACCTGTTTGTAGCGCAGCGGGTTCAGACTCCCACTCAAAGAGGAGGCTGGGGGAGGTGGGCCGCCCTCCTCTGATTAGAGGCCCTTAACACTATTTTTATAGAAATGTTCTGATGTAGAGTCGACTCTTTCTTAGCTCTTGTCTTAAAACATACAGGGCAAACAATAGAGGGCGTGTTGAGCCATTTTCATAAATTTGGTAATAATGTCAATTCTAACAGCAGCAATGACGTGTTTGATCACAGTATGGTCGTATAGTTCAGTTTAGTTTTAAGGTGGAGTACCTCTTTACATATAATTTAGTATAGCATGATGATAACCATCAAGAACAAAACAGTTTATAGCTCCAATCAATGTATCCACAGCTTGGAGCAACTTTTAAAATAATTATTAAAATAATTAGCATTTGACTTCCTCTCAGCAACACATTTCCACAGCAGCACAAACTGCAGTCTCCAGAATGATCAAACAGCTGAATGATGGATGGTAGAAGCTCTGAGTGTGTCATTTTCTGCTGCTAGGGGGTCTCTCACATCAAAACAAAATTAAAAGACATAGTTTGATGACTTTGTGAAGTAGCATTTGGTGAGTTTTATTTGGTTTCCGTCCACTTTGAATGAAGTTGCAATGATATGCAGATGTAAAATAAAGTTTTTGTCTATGATGTCTGGTGTTGAGTGATAGCAATATTACAGCTGCTTCTGGTTAAACTAAAGGTCTATCTCTGCAGGGATCCTTTTCATAATGTTGTCACACACTTAGAATAACAACAACAAACAACAATATTGATAAGCCATTTGTTATGGTGAGTCTAATGATCAAGACACAGTGCAAATAGGAGAATAATAAAGGATGAGAATCATCAGTTTGCTTTTACCAGGGAAGGAGTTATGGCTTGTAAAAAACAAACAAAAAAAACAAAAAAAATACACATCTTTCATTTTTTTCTTTGGCAAGTGATCACGGTGTAAGTGGGATAATGCCCTTCAAGGTGTCCATAATCAGGAATGAATGGACTCTGTGGAGGCGTACGTTGGACAGTCCACTTTCAGCAAACTTTTTTTTGCACTCTGACTTAAATCTACTCTATGAATCAGGCTGCCTTCTCTTTCCTTTAAATGGTGCTAATTGGCCAAAAGGTAGACCAATAAACGCTAAAAAGAATTTAAAAAAATAGGGCTGAATTTGTTGCTCACAATGTACCTAACTGAATCCATTCCAACATTATACTTCCTGTTTACATATCTGAGGTAAAAGGACTGTTGTTGTATGGAGTCTGGTGTTGAGTGATAGCAATATTACAGCTGTTTGTGGTTAAACAAAAGCTCTCTCTTGTAGGGATCCTTTCTATAATGTTGTCACACACTTAGAATAACAATCTGAGCTTGTCAGGGGCAACAAGCACTTTGGTGGACATAAATTTGTCCCTGAGGATTAACGTTAGCTGACCTTGCAGTCATTGCAGCCCTTTTCACAAATATTTCTCTTCTTGGTGAATTAAGGAGGAGTTTTATTTTGTTTCTGTCCACTTTGAAGTGGGTTTTATGATTATCTGCTCAGTAATATTACTGCTTTTGTCAGTGGAGGCAGCCGTTGCACCCGTTGTTTTGGTCTGAGATGCTGGTGCTGTAGTGCCACATCCAGTGGCAAGTGAGTTTGTATAACCTTTTAAACTACCACTGCAGATGAAAATCTATCTGACATGACTCAGGCATTGTACATGTATCTAATTGTATACAGTGAAAAATGAAAGTGAAGGGTCCCTGCCTGTTCTCAAGACAGATTTATCCAAACGGCTTCAGTGTAATTTACGTGGTTAGACTCTTTTTGGGCCTTTTCCACCGTGCTGCGTTTTGTTTGCCTGCCGCCATATTTAAGAGCTTTGCATGGAGGATTTGAGGCCTTGATGTTCATGTCTCCTCAGGAAACACTCTGAACAGACAAAAAAACTTCAATGGAAAAACCTTAAACTTAGATTTTCCTCTTGATAATAATGACTGTGTCTCTGCTGAGTGTGCATCTGTCAAACGCTGACACTTGAACATTTTAGAGCACTGGTAATAAAATGTCCAGGTGCATCAGGCCTGCCTACGTGGCCTCACTATTCTCATTCAATCAATAATTCATTCAGAGCCATTCTTTCTTTGCAGTGATTTGCATCCCAGAGGTAGTGTTTGTTCAGTTTCACACTGATTCCAAATAAAGAAATAAGTAATGAAAACAAGTTACCACGGAAACGAAATAAACCTAGAGGAGTACAAAATTAAAAAATGAAATAACCAGAGCTCTTTTATTTCACTTCAAGAAAAAAGTAAATAAGAATATATTGTGATGGTTTGACAGTTTTAAGGTAGTCTGCAGGGTTGTAGCAGCATAACTAAGGGCTGGTTCAGGACTGACCTCAGCCAGCCCTAACTATAAGCTCCTGCAAAGAGGAAGGTCTTAAACGTGGAGAGGGTGTGTGCAGTAGCATTGTCTCAAACCATCAACCGCTCTCTCCATGCAACTGAACTTGAGTTCATTCTTCCAAGGACAATTTGCAAGAATATTCTCTGCAAGAACACAAGTCTGTTCTTTATGTTCTCTGTTTTGAGAAAGGCCCAAGATCTCGTCATTTCGAGAAAAGTGTCTCATAATTATTAGATCCGGCTCTTGGGTAACCACAGAATCCGAGTGTTCTAAATTGTCCGCCATACGTCCAGTACAAAGAATATTTATACGTGCAAACAGTACAGCAGGGGTTGGTATCTTATGTGGCACTGTGCAAATACTGTACTGGCTTTAATACTACAGACCCGGGAGTCCAGGGACAATGGCTGTTCATCCCCCATCTGGTGTTAAAATGCCAGACAGGACTGGGAGTCTGAGGTATGCACTGTCATGCTGGCTATCCACAGTCATCTATCACAGGACACACACAAACACACACGCATGGCCCTTGTTATTATTTCAGCTGTATTAATGCAGGTTTCCTGCTGCTCTCTATAGACTGATCAATCACAGTTGGCCTCTGTTCTGAATATTTGGCTCGCAGGCTGCTGGGCCTGCCATTATAAACCAAACTTTTTAAAGTTTTGTTTACGAAGCAGAAAATGTGATGAATGGCAACATTACAATACACCTGTGTCTGCTGCTTCGAGGCTTGTTATCTCGGAGGAAATGTCAGTGTGCTGTAGTGAGGCTCTCTGTCCTGCAATATAATGCCATATAGACAGTAGGGGTGGGTAAAAATATCGATTCATCAATGCATTGCAATCATTTTTTTCCAATTCAATATCGATTCATTAAATCATCTGAATCGATTCAAGCACCTGGCCAGTGGGGGCGCGGTGAGCAACACCTTTGTGTGATTTGCGTTGTACGGACGGAGGCTGGACTCGACCACACAACAACAACAACATGGCAACCGAAGCAGGTAGCAGCAGTGTTAAACCAGCGCCTTCAACTTTAAAAAGCAGTGTAAACCCGGAACACAGGAAACAGACCAAAGTAAGGTAGTGTGTAAGCTGTGCCAGGCAGTACTAAAATACTGCAATAACACAACAAATTTGTGCAACCACTTAAGCCGACACCATGCAGATGCTCTGCAGCAACCCGCGGCTAAACCTGTGGATTCAAAACAGACGCAACTCGACAGATCCTTCCTTTGCAAACTGCCACCAAACTCTGCCCGCGCACAGAAGATAATGGAGTCTGTGGCCGTCTTCATATGTAAGGACCTACGACCGTACAGTGTCGTGGAAAACGGGAGTTTTAAGAAGATGGTATACACACTCGAACCACGATACGCCATACCAACACGCAAACGCATCCAATCCAATCCAATCCAATCCAACTTTATATGTGAAGCACTTTAATGGTAAATGGACCTGTACTTGTATAGCGCCTTTCTAGTTTTCCGACCACTCAAAGCGCTTTAAAACAACCAAAGTTGACCAAAGTGCTGTACAGGAGAATAAATAAGACATAATAAATAAAAGACATAACAGCTCACATGAGGCGCAAAAATTACATATAAAATACAACAATAAAATGACAAGACATAAAACATGAGTAAAAATAATAGCCACGCAATAAAAAGCAATCAAAATAAGAAATTAAATCAAGTAAATAAAGTCGACATCTTACTAGGTGTCAAAGGCCACAGAGAAGAGAAGAGGCCTGTTTAACGAGCAGAGGCAGATCATTCCATAATTTAGGAGCAGACACAGCAAAGGCATGGTCCCCTCTGAGCTTCCGCTTAGTTTTAGGCACACTCAGGAGCAGCTGATCATCTGACCTGAGAGAGCGGACGGGTATATAGGGGTGTAGAAGCTCAGAGAGGTAGGGCGGGGCAAGACCATTCCAAGACCAAAGCAAATAAAATAATTTTTAAATGGATCCTAAATTGAATAGGCAGCCAGTGGAGTGAGGCTAAAATGGGGGAAATGTCCTCATGTTTACGTGTGCCAGTTAAAAGACGTGCAGCAGCATTCTGTACCATCTGGAGACGGGCGATGGAGGACCCACTAACCCCCACATACAGTGCATTACAGTAATCCAGCCGAGTGGTAACAAAGGCGTGGATTAACGTCTCAAAGTGCTGCCTTGATAGAATTGGCTTTATTTTGGCCAGCTGCCTCAAATGGAAAAAGCTTGATTTGACAACAGCCTTGATCTGACTGTCAAACTTAAGCTCAGGGTCCACTTTAACCCCTAGGTTTGTGATGCTAGGTTTAATATACTGGGCCAAGGAACCCAGATCTACAGGCGGGGTCCCAGTGGTGCCACCAAAAACCATCACTTCCGTCTTTTTATCATTGAAATTTAAAAAGTTCAGAGCCATCCAGGCCTTTATGTCATCGAGACACTTAAGTAGCAGTCTGACAGAGTATTCATTTTTCTTTTTAAGAGGCACATAAATCTGACTCTCGTCTGCATAACAGTGGAATGAAAAGCCGTGCTTCCTAAGTATGGAACCAAGTGGGAGCAAATAGAGAGAGAAAAGGAGAGGGCCAAGAACTGAGCCTGTGGGACCCCACCAAGAAAGCAGAGGAGGATACAGTCACCTAGGCTGACACAGAAAGTTCGAACAGCCAAGTACGACCTGAACCACTCCAGTGCTATGCCCCTGATGCCCACCCACTGCTTCAAACGTGAGATCAATATTTCATGATCCACTGTGTCAAATGCAGCAGTTAAATCTAAAAGCATAAGGATAACACAGTCACCAGAGTCAGTAGCTAAAAAGATATCATTAAAAACTCTTGAGAGAGCTGATTCAGTGCTGTGCAGGGTTTTAAAACCGGATTGGAACCTCTAGGATATTATGTTCTTCCAGAAAGGCCATTAATTGACTGTGCACAATCTTCTCTAGGATTTTTGAAAGGAAAGGCAGTTTGGAGATAGGCCTGAAATTAGTAAGAACTGCAGGATCTAGAGCAGGTTTTTTAAGCAGAGGCTGTACTACTGCATGTTTAAAATTTTCAGGGACCACACCTGAGGTCAGACTGCTATTTATGACTGCAATAACAGATGGTCCTACAGTGGAGAACTCCTCCTTAAATAGTCGAGGGGGGACAGCATCGTTTAGAGAACCTGAGGGCTTCAAATGACCAACAACCTCCTGTAAAAAGGAAAAAGTCACAGGCTCAAACTGGTCAAAGACAGCAGAGCAGGGGACAGAGATTGAGGGGTCATAAGCTGAAGGTGAGATTTGAGCCCTAATTGAAGTGACCCTATCAATAAAAAAGTGAAGGAAGTTTTCACACACAGCAGGGGACGCCTCCATACAGGCAGTCTGTGGGGCATTAAGAAGTGAGTCAATAGTGTTAAACAAAACACGAGGCTTGTGACAGTTTGACAGGATAATGTTTTCTTTTAGCATCTTTCACAGTTTTCTGATAATGACGCCAGCAGTCCCTTAACATTTGAAGACACCTGCAGTTTGTCCGTCTGACCGCATGAGTCGTGTCATTTAGCCGGGGCTCAGGATTCATTATTTAACAGTATGGCTGTGTTTGGAGTGTTTAAGGGGACCAGACCTCACCGATTATTGTACAGAAACACAACTTCATCAGTCAACAAAACCTGCAACTTTAATCAACAGAAAACCTGCAAAATTCCCAAACCACAGAGCCTGCAGATATATCGGTCTATCCTTTACACATCAGCATAGCTTTAGGCATGGCAATGGCACCATTTTGGTCCAGACTGGAATATCACAAAAGTATTTGATACATTGCCATGTGATTTTGTAAATCCTCTGGACTTTGGTGATCCTCTGATTTTTAATTTAGCACCAACAGCAGGTTTCAATCATGCAGTAAAATATCTCAACATTTACTTTATGGGACAAACTTAAGTAAGGATGACTCCTAATGACTGATCCGCTGACCTTTCCTCAAGGTTCACATTTGTGGTTCTGAGTGAAATGTCACAACATGGCTTGTCGTTGGTGCAAACATTGATGTTGACCTCAGAATTCATTGCAGTAAATGGACCTGTACTTGTATAGCGCCTTTCTAGTCTTCCGACCACTCAAAGCGCTTTTACACTACGTGCCACATTCACCCTTTCACACACATTCACTCAGTGATGGCAAAGTCCATCGAACAGAAACTAACTCATTCATACACATTCACACACGGCATCAGGAGGAATTTGGGTATCTTGCTCAAGGATACTTCAACATGTGGCACCAGGAGCCGGGGATCGAACCCACAACCTTCCGATTAAGGAATGACCCACTCTGCCTCTGAGCCACAGCCGCCAACTTAAGTGATCCCTTGAACACACAATATGTCATTTCTGCCGCTAGGGGTCCCCCTCACATCAAAATAATAACAAAAGATACAACAACACAAAACATATATATGTGTATATACGGTGTGTGTATTTTGAGGCTATTGGTATTTGTGCTGTGGCTGATGTGTCTCACTGTGTGGTTCCTGTTTCAGATGTCGCTCCTATGAGGACTGCTGTGGGACTCGCTGCTGTGTGAGAGCTCTGTCCATCCAGAGACTATGGTACTTCTGGTGAGTTAGTTAGGGCTGTGTCTACTGTACTCTCTCACAGGGATGGATGTGCGTCTGCTATTACTGTTGTTAATGTCTGTTTATTTATAGTGCTAACATTTGTCAGGCTGTGTGACTGCTGACTGAGGAACAGACTGATGCTTTAGGATGGAAAATGAATTGAATTGAATTGAATTGAATTAAATTGAAATGAATTGAAATGTCTTTAATGTCCCCCCAATTTGGTTCACAACAGGTAGCCAACACATACATATTCACACAAAAACACATAAAAACATGAAATGATGAATAAATAAAAGCATAAATACACATGTACAATATATATAAAAATAAAAAATAAAAAGTAAAAAAATGTACTGTGACATGGGCAGGGATGGAAGATGACCTATAGTTTGTTGAGAAACCCAACAGCTGATGGTACAAATGATCTCAGGTATCTGTTAGACCTGGCACATTTTCGGGAGGTATACCTCCTTCCTGATGGTAGGAGGCAAAGTGTAGTGGGTGAGTGATGTGTGGCTCTGGCCTCATACACATACCCAATGCTGTTGAGGTCAGTGCCAATTATTTTCTGTTTTTGTTGATTACACTCAAATTGCCAAACCAGCAGATCATAGCAAAAGTTAAAATTGACTCAACAAAAGATGAATAAAAAGTTTTCAGAAGTGATCTGTCAACATTAAACTCCTTCAACTTTCTTAAAAAAAAACAGTCTCTGATTGGCCTTTTTACATATATAGTCTGTATTGGTGTCAAAGTTCAATTTATCATCTAAAATGGTGCCCAAGTACTTGTATTGGCTTACCACATCCAACGCTGTGCCGTTAATCAAAGTTGAAGCAGTGTTGGGAGGATTGCGACGAAAGTCAATACACATCTCTTTGGTTTTAGAGACGTTGAGTTGTAAATATGAGTCTTTGCACCATGAGATAAAATTGTCCAAAAGTGGGCCATGGCCCACCTCGTGATCCTGCAGAAGACTAATTATCACAGAATCATCAGCATACTTAATAATATGCCTTGATTCAAACATATTCTGACAGTCATTGGTGTAGAGTACAAATAAAAGTGGTGACAGAAAACACCCCTGAGGTGACCCTGTGGAGCACATGAGGGCCTTAGATAAAGTGTTATTTACCCGGGTTCTCTGTGACCTCATAGTTAGGAAATCAACCAGCCAGCATATGGTACCAAAGTCAATATCAGAAAATTGCAATAGTCTGTGAGCAAGGATATGGGTCTAATGTCTGTTTATTTAATAGTGCTAACATTTGTCAGGCTGTGTGACTGCTGACTGAGGAACAGACTGATGCTTTAGGATGGAAAATGCATTGCACTAAGCCTAGATAGCTAACAAACAATAGCCCACTTATTAAATCTTTTAACATAGTTCCTTTTGAGTGAAGCATTGCTTGTTCACCCTGCAGTGTGAGATATATACATATATATATATACTGCAATATAATATCCAGAATGAGGAGCAACCTTAATGAGCTAACTCCACATAAACCGTTACCTCTAACAGTAGTTTTACTAGTTTATAGCAAGCTCCTTTTTGTCTCATATTTAATATATAAGCTATAATGACATTGTGGCATCAGGATTTTTTGTAAATGAGCAACTGTCCTAAGTACACACAGTTTATTCAGGAGCTATTTGTACTATTGACTCGTGAGTAATACATTTCTGCAACCCATTCCCCTTTGTGCAGCAGTTCACAGTATTCTCAGGGAGAGGACGTAAAATAAAACTGGACTGTGCCACACAGTTAATAAGCTACAGCTTCCTCCACAATTTGCCCTTGCAAGTGGGCTGAATCCAATAATTTTATTAATTCCATTGGAATTCAATATTTTCCCACAAAATGTCACATTTAAAATGCAGATGTGACCAGGCCTTAAGGCTGACGATCTGGTAATTACCTTCAGTGAATCAATCAATCAGTGTCCATTATAATTTAAGAATGTGAACAAATACAGCAGTTCTCAGAGCTTCTTCTTCTTTTTTTTAGCATACTATATGTTTACATCCTACAGGTTAAAAGATGTATTAAAAACATTTTATAACCTGATTAAAAGTAGATATTATCTTGCATATATATTATAATTGTAATGGATGTGTTTTAATGGTGTATGTTAGACTTAATGGCTGCAGCAGTCTCACTCAATATTGGACCAAACCAAACCCCATTCATCACTCAACACAAAAACCAGGAGAAAAATAAGGTCCAGGTGGAAAAATACTTATGATACTGCTGATTATTAAGCAGTAATAAAACTGTTAAAGGTCTGAGATGTCCTGTGTTTTTCACTCAGGGTGCTGCTGATGATGGGGGTATTGTTCTGCTGCGGTGCCGGCTTCTTCATCCGCAGAAGGATGTATCCGTCCCCTCTGAGAGACGAGCCGGCCTTCAACGTCTCTTTCACCAGGCACCCTGTCACCACACCAGGTACAGCAGGACTCAAATACACAGACGGAGATGTGGCAAACACAATGCCTAAAGTACCCCAAAACAGGGTCGAATAGAAATAAAAGAAAAAACTTTTTTACAGGTAAAGCTGAGTGAGACTTCACATGTAAGCTTTTATAAGAGCTAAGTCAGGACGGCTGGACTATATTAGGCAGAGGCCATGTATAAGATGGTATTTCTCATAATTGTATGTCAGGCATGTTGATGAAAATGAATCCCCTGAAAACCCTTTCCTGTCAATCTTCTCTATCTAATGGCATGAAAAGGCTAAAAAAAATAAATTCAGAAGAAAAAACAAAAATCACAGGTACAAAATGGAGAAAGCTGAGTTGGAGAATCCTGGTTCAGATACAGCCCTAGTTTCAGATGCATTTCAGACCAACAACTAACACCTTAGTGCGTTTCCAACCAGCTGCTTTTCTACACACTTTTGATTGGAAAGTGGAACCTCAGTGGAAACACTGGGAGATGAGGATGGATATACAATATATGATTGACCTAAGCCAAAATGTCCTCCAACACTCTCAACATGTTAACTGGAAAACCAGTGGACTTTCAGTTAACATGCTCTGAATCTTTACAGTCAGCACTGTGTCCTTAAAGCCTTCTTTATTTAAAACTTGAGATTTTGGGAGAAAGTAGGGCAGCTGATTAAACTCTTAAATGAATGGAAGTATGCTCTGTGTCAGTCAGCCAAGCGGAAAATTGAATGGAGCGCTCCAATAATAACCACTATGTAAAACTCAATTCTGCAGGCAGACTAAATAGTAGAAAGGTGAGCCAGAAGAGGAAGTCATAGCTAGTCTCTCTGATGAACTCCAAAACAGTAAAGTCAGTATCACAGGCTGCTTGTTCTAATCATTTCTGACATTCTGCTGTGAGGGGATGTCACAGAGTTCATTTGGGCTTTGGATTGTACCCAAACATTTGAACCCAGAAGAGAGAAAAAATGGCTCTCTGATATGACTGTGGCTGCTCAGACACAGAGAACGTGTAAGGCGATATCAGTGAGTACATTTTAAGCCCTCATTTATTAATTTGATGAATTTTGGTTTAGCCTAGTCATTTTGTGCTGTAGTGAGAGCAGTTATTGAGTGTTACCAAAGAGTTTAGGAATAACAATGAGAGAGCTGGAATCCTAAAGATTTTCATTCCAACAGTTTTGGTTCTCTTCATGACGCCATTATTATGCTGTAGCCACATTGAGTTCATTTACATTCTGGATTTGCTCTGTATAATAGTGTTGATTGTTATTGGTTGATTCTTGTGTGAGATTCAAATTCTGAACTCATGGAAATTATGACTACTACATGACGTAGTAGACAAAAACCAATGCAATTGGACAGTTCACATAATGCAAAGGACAAGTCCATGCAAGAAAACCACCAAATTTAGTTGAAGTCTACCAATTCTGCCAAAAAGAGTGGTCCAGCATCCAATTAGAGTTCTAGCTCCAACTGTGAGTGGGTTTCCCCACCTCCCCACCACCCCTCCACCCATAATTGACGAAAGGCCAATGGAGTGCTGGTAGATACACCAGTTGTTGTTCTGTTGCACCTCTGATGTAGCGTGGCTGCCCAAGGCGTGTTTGCTGCCCCCAGTGGTCAATACATGTACAAGTGAAAAATGTACACATGCCAAAGCTCTTGATGTTACCACAGGTGTCAGAACTGGCCTCGATCAGGTGTTTTTTAATATGCTGTGTGCTAATAAATGACATGATGAATCATGGTGTATAAAAGATGAGATGGACCACACAAGTGATGTACCATTTTGATGTACTGTAAAAGTAAATAGAAAAAGCAGGGGTCCCAAATAGACACAGGTCTCCTTTACAAGCCTGGTGTGGCCACACGTTTCAACAAATAAACACAGGTCTCCAATAGAGGAGGATAGTGGATAGTGGATTTTATTGAAATTATTGCAATGTTAAATAATGTCTCATTTATTCTGAATGCACATGCTATTAGCATGTCATATGTGTATTGGACCTCTTAAAGCCCCCGGGTCGCCCGCTTGAGCGAGTTCTGAGCTGCTTAGATCTCCTACACAAATATAAACGTTTAAACCTTTGTCAGTATGGATGCTGCACATCGTTGGATCAGTTAGATTCAGATCATTTTACGGAAACTATGAACACCAAAGTATAATTCATTCGGACTTACGCACTGTAAACAAGAGAGATGGAAAAAAACCTCTGAAGTGGTCATAATCGTACGTTGTGTCCATTCCTCCATTATTTAAATTCCTGTAGTCCGTCAGAGTCCACCAATCAAAACAATCGAAGGGTTTCATAAAAATTAATCTGAGCTTGGGAAACTGTGGAAAGGAGGCAAGCCGGCATTGGCAGTGTGATGTGTTGGGCAGTGTGATGTGTTGGGCAGTGCTGGGAAACCTTGGGTCCTGCCATTATGTGGATGCTACTTTGACACGTACCACCTACCTTAGCATTGTTACAGACCATGTAGTCTTTCATGGAAACGGTATTCCCTGATGGCAGTGGCCTCTTTCAGCAGGATAATGTGCCGTGCCGCAAAACAAAAATGGTTCAGGAATGGTTTGAGGAACACAACAACAAGTTCAAGGTGTTGACTTGGCCTCCAAATTCTCCAGATCTTAATCCAACTGAACATCTGTGGGATGTGCTGGACAAACAAGTCCGGTCCATGGAGGCCCCACCTCACAACTAACAGGACAGGATCTGCTTCTAACGTGATATCTTGCTACAGAGCAAAACACCAGCTAATGTATATCAATCGTTAGTTAGCTAATGGGTTTCTAACAATAGCTTAAAGGACCAGTGTTAGTGTCATCTAGTGGTGAAGTTTTGAACTGCAACTAACCGAACACACGTCTGTATTTGACAATGAATGAGAGCAGGCTGTGAAGTGTGTAGGAGAAACTATGATGGACACAAAACTCACTAAAACTGCAAAAGGCCCTGTCTATGGCCAGTGGTTTGTCTGTTCTAGCAGTTCAGCATGGCAGACGCCATGGAAGGCAACTCGTGGCACCTGTAGAAAAAAATGGCTTATTCTAAGGTAACAAAAACACAACAATTCCTATATTCAGGTGACCGAGGCTTGCTCAACTGATATTGGAGCACAGAGCAAAAAGGGGGGGCACTTAGGAAGGGTCAACTGATACTAAAAGATAACTGTCTCTTCTTCTTTCCAGTTTCCCAGCAGCCAGGAAGTATGCAGGGCTTCGGCGTCAATGGGATGACAGGTGGTGACCCAGGGCTTACCATGACACACCCGGCGTATCCGGCACAGCCTGGCTCTGCACACATGATGATGGGCTCCTATCCTCCACCTCCGTCCTACTGCAACCACCCACCTCCACCCTACGAACAAATATTTCAAAACAGCGACAAGAAGTAACGTCTGCCGGGAACCGAAGAGATGGAACTAAAAAGGGGAAGGAAGGAGCCAGAGGCTAAATTATCAGGAAGTTCTGATGAAGATGAGGAACTTAACTGTTTGGGGATGTAAGACACACACAATCTCTTGTCCAGCAGAAAAGACCAAAAGAGGCACAATAACCAGAATCTAGATGCACAGGCACACACACTCATTCACTCACACTGCTTCATCTACTCTTGATTTCTGTGGATCTGTGTACAGTGTGTGCCAGCCATGTTGAACTGAAGATGAGCAGTGATGGACACATTTAGGTCGAGGTTTTGGATTCACCCACAGTGCAACTAACTACAGCTGTAACAGTGCAGAATGGATGACGGTCAAACTCCTGTTGTAATAAAATGCTGGATACTGGATACTCTCACCAGACAGGGTTTTAACATTTAACAAATATATCAACTATCAAATTGATCAAATCAAAGATACATGATTGTAAAAAAGGACTATCTCTGTACAAGGATGATATTTTCTATCCAGCATTTTACTGCAAGATAGGTCTTTACTAAATGATGAGTTCTTGATACATTTTTTATTACTGTATGTGAAGTCCTGTTACGTAATGACATAATGAGCTAGTCTCTGTGCTTCTCTTAGCAGCAATGTAGGCTTAAGTTCAGCACAAGATGAGTCACATTGAGTGACGCTGAGATGGAAGAGTGGCTGACAATGTGTCACTAGTTGTAGGGTCATAGTCACTTCGATAATCAGCATGCCGCATGCTGCTCTGCTGGCATATGGGACATAAAAGTGGCATGTTCCAATTCTGCCACGAGCCACATTTAACTTTAGATCCTGTGCTGTCTGAAAGTATAAATTGGTAGTTTATGCCGTAACATTATACTGGAAGACAAGCACTCCTTGAAGGTAGCCGTCACTGATGAGATCAACACCATGCTTTTCTAACAGCTCACCCAGTGAGGCTATTGGTAGCTACTTTAGTCCTGTACAGCAAGTGTAGGAAAATCAAAGAAAATCACCATATAACACTAAAACACTTAAGTCCTGTTTACATGACACAGTTTTTCTAAAAATGGAAACGTTTTTCCTTTGTTTTAAAAAAGTTAAGTAGGTAACCGAGTAACTTTGCAACTCAACACCCCGCGTCAGCATACAAACTCTTTCCTCTACAGCACAGTGAGTGTAAACAGGAAGAGAAGGTGGCAAACGCGCACTGGAAAACTGACTATTTTGGTGACTCTGGATTATAAGGCATCCAAATTTCATACCGATGGTATCCCCCAAATTCCACCAGGCTGCTGGAGCTAATTGCACCTGTTCTAGACAATGCATGTGATTCAGCCAGAGTCTCTCCACTCTGCTCCACATAGAATACACGGCTGGTCTACTTTTGACAGAAGCCGTGACCCACTCACAACAAGCAGCACAGAGACAGAAACAGCATAGAGACTCTGGGCAATTTTCAAAATGAAATACTGTGTGCAGACTCTGGATTGAATTTGCTATATCATCGTTGTGACACCAGGTCAGAAGTCAGTCAGTCAGAGGAGATATGAAGTGGAATGACACAACTTTTTGTATCCTTTTTAAGGACAAAAGAAGCAAGTAAACAACGAATGGCAGGCAAGACACTTCTAAAAACACTCGGTGCTCACGTACCAAAACTGCGTCATAGGTACCCAGTGACATTTTGTGGGTTAGGGTAGCGTTTCAAAAGTTTGTGTTTTCAAGCCTCCAAAACAGAAATGCCAAACCACAACAAAAGTTGACTGTTTTCTGCAAAAACCGTCATGTAAACAGGGCCTAAAAGGAGTGGCATACAATCAGGCACTGTCCCATCTTGGCGCAGCTGCATGGACCCACAAGATGATGTGACATAGCACTGTACGATCACAACAGATAAATATTTAGGTCAAATTGAAATAAGAGTAAATACCCGAAGGGACGTATTGCCATGAGTGTCAGTGCCAAAAGCCTTGTGCACCAAGCTGCTTCCCAGAGTGGCTCAGGGCACCTTTAGGAAACCATTACTCTGCATCCTCTCTGCCTGCACGTCCAGTGGAAAGCCAGTGAAGGAAAATGAGTTGCTTGATACTGTTTTGTCATTACCTAACTTCACGTTTTTCTCTCTAAGATTTATGTAAAGATTTTAACTTTTTCCACGTTGCTGCAACAAGCCTCTCAAGTGCATTAAAGGTAAATTAGTGAATTATTTCTCCCAATCCAGGAGGAATATAGTAAAGTTGTAACAGTTTCTGCTTCAGTGAATCAAACCTTAATTGCAATCCAAGAAGTTTTTTTCAGTGCAGTTATTTCGAATATCTGGTGAAACTCAGCACAAAAGGAGCCAAACGGGACTGAGAGGGAAAAACCTGTGTTATAAACTAAATCTACCACAACGGTCCAGTTTGTAGTAATAACAAGTACAGTTAACCTCCGGACATACTTTCTTGGCACCTTTTATGTTGCAAATTCTAAGGTGTGTTTTGGAAAGTGCTTCCAAAATGTAAAGGAATAGTTTGACATTCTGGGAAATGTGACTAGTCATAGTCCTACTAAATATGGAGCTGGCAATTAGCTAGCAGAAGAGTTAACAGCGTTTATGAGGAAAAAGTTAAAAATATATACCTCATTAAATAAACATGTTTAATTTGTGTACAAACAGAAATGCAAAGATGACAGTTTGTGGTTTTAGTGGCAGTTCCTTCACTGCACCCAGCTGCTGTTGGCCAAGAATGTTGAACTATTCCTCAAACTTTAGTTTGCTTGCTATGATGTCACAAAAACAGGATTTATGCTAAGAGGGAAAGCTAAGCCTACACTGCACGAGTAAACAGCTAGCCTACCAGCACCTCTAAAACTCACTGTTGGACTATTTCTCAGCCAGAACCAGCGACTTCCTGGACTCTCCACTGGTTGCCTGGCAACTTAACAGCGACTTATCCTAGCCTAGACCCACATCAAAAACACAATGTGTCATTTTAACAATTTGATTGTTACATTGTGAGTTTCAGAGGCGTTGGTAGGTGGATAGTGTTACCTTTGGTCAGAGCCAGGCTAGCTGTTTCTCTGTGCCTAGTCTTTATGCTAAGCTAACCAGTTGCTGGCTGTAGATTATTGCACAAACATGGGAGTGGTATCAATATTTTCATCTAACTCTCAACAAGAAAACAAAGAAGCTCTTTTTCTCAAAATAATAATATTCTTGCCATCACTGTTATTGTTGGAATATACCTTCTGGCCACCACACTGAAAAATGTTACTTTATACAAGTATTCAAAATAGCCGACTAATTAGATTATTGGATTTTAGGCAGCCAGTAAAGTCTCAAACAAACCCTGCTATCAAACCCTGATCCCCGTTGAACTGACACATTCTTACTGATGGTCTGTTAAAGCTTGTGTTTGTAAAAAGGTGATATTTTAGCTCCAGTGTGTACAGTGATGTGGTCATTTAGAACAGAATGACCACTTCCAGTGGACTAACCTGTGCTTTTGGTTCTCTTTTGGGCGTTTGTGCTGCAATAAATACCTAGGTGATGATGATGATGATGTGGTAGTTCTGAGAGGTAGCTGAGCTCTTTCTGTAGCGTAGTTCCGTCCCCACTGCCATCCCATCCATACACACACTGAACAAACAGCAACAACTCTGAAAACACAATGGGTCTCGTATAAGAACAGTCATATTTCTCTTACTTTCTTTCTCTTTGGTTTGCTTCAGGTACAATAGCCTGCTGTCAAACTGATAGACTGCACAGAATAATCATTTTACATGGCATTTCTATTCTTAAATCAAACGAGAGCTTCTCCCCATGTGGAGGAAAGCCTACCATCTCTTGGTGTCTTTCCCACTCCTGCTTTCATTCATACTTTAGAGAAAATACTAAATAAACTGGTGAATCACCAGTACGTTTGTTTCTTACATGAGGCCTGTTGTTCCTTGGTGTACTTATTGTAATTAAATCTGATGACCGTTCCACAGTTTGTGGACCTCAGGCTGTTGACATTTCCACGTTTAAAATTGCCTGTCTCAACCGAACCCAATAGCCTTGGTTTGGTGTCTTTTTAAGGAAAGTAAACTTTTATTTTGTGGCTTGCATGGCTAAGTTAAGTTTAAAGAATATTAATAAAAGAAAATAAAAACATTGCCAATATATGTGTGGTAAAATCAAGAGTGTTCATCCTTTTTATGGCACAAATATGCTTCCACCTTATGCTGTTCAGAGGATGAACGTGCTCTCTGAGGACACTTTTAGTCATTTCTTACACAAGTAGAAATTCTGACCTGACGGGGGGGCTAAATATGGAAGCTCGTTTAAAACAAAGTTTCATTTATAAAATTATTATTATTATTATTATGAAATGATGAATGGCACCAGCATAGCCTGTATTAACCCTTCCAAGTCCTGCCCCTGTGGAACCTCGGTCAACTTCCTCCTTTCCTTGTACTTCCTGACAATTTATGTACACATTTTGTTTTGACTTTTAAATGTCTGTTTTTTTGTTTGTTTGTTTTTTAAAGTTATTTTTTCGGCCTTTTGTTGGCTTTATTGATAGAGACAGCTGTAGAGAGACAGGAAGGGTGGGTGGAGAGAGGGGATGACTCACAGCAAAGGGCCGCAGGTCGGATTCAAACCCGGGCCGCTGCAGCAACTCTGTATATGGGTCACCAGCTCTACTGACTGAGATAACCAGGCGCCCCTTAAATGTCTGTTTTATCTTGTGACAAAGAAAAAACAATGTAAAAATTGCAGTAACAACAAAATCCAACCAAAAACCTCTCAGAGCTTCAGCTGGAGTTACTGCTGCTTCAGTGGCTGTAAATCCTCAATTCAACCATTTAAGGACAATCTTCATGTTCTCCAATGACAACTCTTACTGACTTCATCTGTGTATTTTTGGCTGAGCCCATTGTAGCAAATAGTAAGAATAGTTTGGATATTACTGTGCTAGTGCTAGCTAAGTAGACAGGACAAGCTATTATTGTGCTAATCAAAATAAATGTCATAGTTTAATCCTCACAAAATAATTCCTTTTACTCAGTTACTCATCTGTCTCAACGTTTTACATCTGAAACATAAATTAAATTAGAAGTCCAGATTTGATGTAAGGACATAATCAGAGTTTCTCTTTGCACTAGCTGTTTATGGCAGGATCTGCAGCTTTGCGGTCATAGCTCAACTTAATTACCGAGATATCACACAACCGCTGTTTACTGAGAACACTTTTGGTAGTGTAATTACTGCGGTTAGCATTTGTAAGGCCATTTTGTTAACATCAGCAATTAAATTAACAAGCTAGCTAGCAAGTAATGTAACTAGTTAGCTAGCTGGCTAATGATTAATGATGTGTCTTTTACCTATCTCCAAAACTTGGTTTCATAGATTAGCCTAGCACATATCATACCAAGCACAGGAAAAGAGACAGCTGGCCGAGGTTCTGACTGAGGTTAGCTCAACTGCTATTGGAGCACAGAGTGAAAAGGGGCGGGACTTAAGAAGGGTCAGCTGGCACTTTATTAGAATAGTTCAGTTCATACCCTGTGCCCATTTTCACTTTTAAAGAGTGTTTTATGAGGTTGTGGAGGAGATTCTCACGCTCCTGTCCTGGTCCATCCTTGTCACTTGTGGTGTTCACTGTGAAAGAACATGTGCAGTGCACACACCTCTGTAGAGTTGATGGAAGGCCACCGAAGAGACACTTCTGATCCCAATCTGGTTTCTGGTCTCCAGTCTCCCACAAGAAACAGTAGCAGGTTTTGGGGTAAGACCAGGGCCCCGTGCAGTAACACAGTGTCTTTGGGCGTCGTGCTGTGTGTTCCCAATATCCAACAGCCTAACATTAGAGAGGCAGGTATTCTGTTTTATCAGGTCAAACTATGCAACAGGTCCTGGAGTTGTTTAAGCCTCTGTCTGCTGTTTTTATCCTCTCCTTGTTAACCTCTTCTCTTTCTCTTCTGCTCTTCTGCTTTGGACATAAAATACCATCATACATTGTGACATATGTAAATAAACTGCACTTCTGATACAATGTGCTCCAGACTAATGGATTTACTGGAAGTTGGTTGTTACAGTGATATTGTGCTGCACACTTCAAAACGCCTCATTTCAGGTAAAAGCAGTGGAATGTATGAATGAATGTATTCCATTTGTTATTACCACACCCATTTAAATGCCACATGAGGAGGGCAGATTATGGCAAACCCCGTAACATGCTGAATCAACAGCTCACTGACAGTCTCAATGACAACTGATGACTAGAAGCCTGAATTTACGGTCTGAGATTCCTCAGCAATGTTAGTGACTCTGAGGCCGTAGCACCTAGCTCGATGCTAACATGCTTATGTTTAGCAGGTATGTTGTTAAAAATGGTCACCGTCTTAATTAGGGATGGGGATCGAGACCTGGTTCTATAAGGACTCTGTTCCAAATTTCTCAAAACCCGAAAATCAATAAGGTTCTAATCTTATAGATACTGCTGTTATATAAGAGTTTCCTTTATTGGTCTAATACAAATTTGGCACAGCAGCACAGGAGAATGTAGAGTGAAGAGGAAAAGGATAAAAATACAATAAAATCTAAAATAAAAACTCACCTATGTAAATTGTTTGCATCAAGGCTTCATTTAATCCATAATCCAGAGAAAACGTGTGTAGGAGGATTTCAAGCAGACACAAAATGAAAACTCTGTACAGTGTTTGTTGTAAAACTGAACTAGCCTAGCACAGTTAGCTGGCAGTCATTGTTTATCCACAGATAAATAGATAAAAAGATAATAAAAGATAAGAGAAGACACGATCAAATCAATCATCTGATCACGTTTTATCTAACAGACTTTTTTAATTGTCTTTAACCTGATTCCTATCTGCTTCATAGATAACTGTTGTTACTATCCCTCACACCGGGAAACACTACTGCAACAAACCAGCACAGATTACCCACAAGTCCACCTTCCTTAAAAGGTGAAGGCTCGGCTGGTAACGCACAGGTGGGTGGAGGAAGGATCAATACTTTACTGACTTTAAAAGCAGAAAATACTGCAGTACCAGCACAGTGGGGGGACATCGGGAGACCTTCCTCTGCTGCTGAAGATAATCCCAGAAACTAATGTAAAAGAGCTACATTCATTTCTCTGTTGTATATGAACTATTTCTCTATTTCTGCTATAGCTTTAATAAAGCAAAAGTAGTTCTTATACGATTACTTGATTAATTGAATAATCGATAGAATACTCCATTACTTAATTCATTGACAGCTTCAGCCCTGGTCTCTTGAAGGAGAGTCGTGTCATTTAAATCAAATCCCTGATACACAAACATCGCCTGCCAACTGCATTAAGCAATACAAGCAAACCCAGTTCTGTTAGGAATGTACTGTGGCCTCCTCTTTCCACCGAGTTCATACAAACATATTGACTGGTATCAATAAAGACCTGGATCATTAGTGGTCTCGAAAAAGTATCAGATAAAAATGAATGACCCCCATCCCTAATCCAGTGTGTTAGCATGGTGTCTTTAATTCCTTCATTACAGTTTAGTAAAAGGCCACTGAATTACACAGGATGCTGAATAACTGGCCTCTAGAAGAGGAAGCAGCAGACAGCCATTATTCCATCCATGCAAAGGATGTGGTTCTAGCAAAGGAAGAAAAAAAGCTAAAGCAGTTTTTTAGTAAATCTGGTGAGAAGCTGTTCATCCTCACTCAAATCTGTGAATTTTAAATCAGACGTCCACAGGAAAAAATGACAATCTCAGAGGAAGAGAGGTGAAGTTTCTTATATTTTATAATAACCTAATAATCCTAAAACAGTCTAAGTGGCTGGTCTGCGGACGCCACCTCTAGTCCCTCCCACCAAGCAGTGGCGAGTGCCAGGACACGCCCTCAGTGGCAGGCACAGCAGCTGCAGTGGTCAGACAGTCTCCGAGAATGAGTGCAGCACACTCCAGCTGGATCACTGCACCGAGTAATAAGTACCACTGCGCGGTTCTTGGTTGATCTGGATTCTGGGTAGGATTGGACAAAATCGGGATATGAATTTGGTAATCCAGATCAAATATTTTGGGGTATTTCACAGTCCCCTCTCAGATCTAAAAATGATTTGAAAAACCAGGACTACAAGATCAGATCAGATTAAAGAGCCTAAAATGAGCCTTTTACATCCACAGACCGCCATGTTTCTACAGTGGCCCACAACAGACAAACCAAACACTGGCTCAACATAGGGGCGTTCTTGTTTTAACTGTAGAACAAACCTTCCACAGGTTGCTTAAAACAAAACCATGAATGAATGAATAAGTAAATAAAGGACAGAGCTCGTGTCCTCAGTGGTAGCTAGGGTGGTGACTGCTGGCACAATGTATAGAACGTTGTATACTTTAGTACATAGTAGAGTTCAGTACATCCAGATGGGAGCTAAAAATAATGAACTTAATGTCTTTGGGCCACATTAACCTGTGTAGACCTCAGTGTGGGCGGGTGGGAAAAAACATCTCCCGTGTCATCTCCCTGAGCACCGGTTCCCCCCAGGGCTGCGTCCTGAGTCCGCTGCTGTTCACGTTGATGACCCACGACTGCTGCGCCAAGTCCACTACAAACCACATCGTGAAGTTCGCAGACGACACGACAGTAGTGGGCCTCATCAAGAACAGCGATGAACAGGCCTACAGAGAGGAGGTGAAACATCTGGCAGACTGGTGTGGAACCAACAACCTGATCCTGAATGTCTTAAAACAAAAGAGATCATTGTGGACTTCAGGAAGAACCAGCACAGCCACCCTCCTCTCATCATCAACACCTCAGCAGTGGAGATCATCAGCAGCACCCGGTTCCTGGGGGTGCAGATAACAGACACTCTCACCTGGTCAAACCACACGTTTGGTTTGTCTGTTCTGGGCTACTGTAGAAACATGGCAGTTCAATATGTAGACCCCTGTACCGCTCTCTCTGTAGATAAACAGCTCATTCTAAGGTAATACAAACATTATAACACAATGATTCTTATATTCTGGTGATTATACACTATTGAAAACATACCTATGAATATTATATTCCATTTCTGACAATAGATCCTCCTAAATGTTACACACTGGACCTTTAATGATTATTTCAATGACTCATTTTTTAAATATCTTTTAACAATATCTATTTTGTTGTACTTACTAAGAGTAACTGATAGTTAAATGTACCCTTTGTATACATTTTGAATAAATTGAGTTCATCACTGTACTTCCATGTGTTATAAATAAAGTTGGTTTTAAAAGATAAAGCCTATGTAAGTGCAGTGACATTCTCTCAGCACTGCGGTTGTCCTTCCTGTGTCCTTATGAGCTCTCCTTCACATCTTTTCTTGACCTCAAGACATGTTCCACAGAGGTCACCTGTTTTTTGGGGGGACTTTAAGGGTAAAGGAAATGTGGTTTCTGCCTTTTAACAGGCAGTTTTTCCTTGCCCTTGTCGCCAAGGTCTTGCTCATGGTGGTACTGTTGGGTCTCTGTAAATAATGTTATAAAGAGTTCGGTCTAGACCTGCTCTATTTGAAAAGTGTCCTGAGATAACTTCTGTTATGAATTGGCGCTATACAAATAAAATTGAATTGAATTGAATTGAATTGAGCAGATTAAAATAAGATGGGCAATTTAATAGAATGAAACTACTTGGAATAGATATATACACCCCACCGACAGTTACACTGTTATTGTGTGGGAAACACAGCATGAATTTAAAAGTGTGAGTGTAGCAGTGCAGATTGAGGACATTGTCTGCTCTTCCAACAGTGACACTAACAGTCGACTAAACGCTAAGAGCTACGGGGTCTCCCTCACACCAGGGCCCGGTGTCAAGGCTACCGCCCCCGTTCTCCGACTCTTACTGCAATGGCGGCGTAAACGTTAGCTGCTAACAGGCTAACCTTACAAACGAGAGTCGCTAACAAACATTACAGAACCTTGCAGTGTCACAGATGTACAATATAAACATGGCGCTAGCCCAGTAGGCTTCACATCATCAGCTTACCTGCAAAATGCAGACAGGTTGACAATGCGTGGCGATGAAGAACGTTATATGAACACTTTTCTTCCCACTAACACTGTTAAACACAGGAAACACGTGGAAAACTGTTTTAACTTAATATCCAACATTATAACATGATTCCCAACAAATGATTCTATTTAATAATCTACACGATATACCGGGCCACATGAGACACAGCGGAGCGGGATATTTAAGTAAAGTGCTCTGTAGTGGACACATTTTTTGTTTCTTGTTACCTATTAGTCACATATACACAGATACTGATATATCTGCAATAAGCTTATCTGTCAATAATCAACTATCTTCAAGCTTCCAACCCAACGCGTCTTTCTATCTTTCTCGGCTCCGATTGGTCGTTTTTGTTCAGGCCTAGTGGATTCTTGCAAACGCCATTAAGAGCACTAGGAGAAGCCAGAGGAAACATTGTTTCACAGATGATCTGTCTCATGTTCTACTGTCAGGATATAGTGAAAGTTTCAGCCAATATGACAAAAACCTATATAAGTTACCTACTGCAGCTTTAATGTGTTCTTACCTGGAACACACAACCACCTTCACTCCTTCTATAAGCGAGAACACTGTAGGACAACGATTACACGAGCACCCAGAAACCTACACTTTGGCATTATATGGGTCAAAATGATGAACAATGGGACATTTTAAATTACACACATTCTTAATTATAATTGGTGAAGAAAAGATATTCACACACAGAACAATTTAACAGTGTTACGTTAAGAAACATTTAGAGAGCTGTGTTATCGCCAACCTTTCATCATTTACAATCCAAATTAAACAAGTATTTGTTAGCATTGTATGTGAAATAATAATGAAAATCGGAATCAACAGGAGGCACAGGAGCTCTATTCATTCTTTATTTCCAACAATATCAAACTTTGCATGAATTCTTTGTAAGCACTGAATAGCCACGAAGCAGGTTAAGAACAATGAAGACATGTTACTGTCACTGCTGCAGTCACTGAAGCCCAGGAGTTTAATGAGCAAAAACAAACACACATTCATATCATAGCAGTTTAGACTGAGAGCAAATCAAATACACACACAGGGACAAACACTCCTCGCTGCTGGGATCAGGATACAAACCACTACTGAACACATTAGGAGCAGTGAACCTGGACACTGACAGACAAACACACATTATTATGCTCATATAAAGACATCAGATCTCTGCAAGAGAACGAGGCATTTGAGGGCATTCATGTGCTGTCGGGGTAATTGGATGCTATTATTTCATCTCCCTGTTGGTAGCACACAGATCAGGATGCCACCATCTAAGCTCAGGGGTCATCCAACAGAGCTCTTAAACTGAATCTTCAATATATATTTGTCTGTTCCTTTCAGTTTTAATCGTGACGCTAACAAGAAGCAACTGAATTTACTTTTTATTTGTGGGAATGTAGATTAGCAGAGCAGCTAGCATCACACACACACACACACACACACACACACACACACACACACACACACACACACACACACACACACACACACACACACACACACACACACACACACACACACACACACACACACACACACACATACAAACAATACAAAAATACAATACAATACAAAACCCCGACCACCGGGGATTCTACCTGCAGGAGAGGTCTGATACTACTCAAACTACTTACAGCAATTTCCGGCCGGGTCACAACAAAAAAAACAACACAAAATTTTAATTCTCTTTTTGAATCCCAATTTCCATTTAGAAGCACATCACATTAAATCAGGTAACAGTTTTTCTATTTTTTATTTTCAAAACCAAAAAAGTATTTTTTTTCGGGGTTTTTTTAGACTATTTATAAATTAGAGTCGGGCTTGTTTCCTTATTTTAGTTCTCATTTTAAAAAGGAAAATCCGTTGTATTCTACTTTGCCTAAACATGACGTATTGAGCTCTGACTGGACTAAACCATTGAGTCTGCTGGAAACAGCATAATGCTAATTCACTTACGGTAGCTTTGATTTCATATCGAAGACCATGTCAAATATCTGAAATAACGAAAGAAAAAACTGAGTGATAAAGTAAAAACATAAAATAATGCTTTATCATGTAAAGTTTACACAAATATACTTCTGTTACTATTATTAATGCATGCTTAAAAGAATAGGCCTTTGACTAATGTGCAACTGACTGTGTGCTAGTTATTGTAATGTTATTAGCATATTATTGTTTTTTTTAGCTTCAATCGTCAGTTGTTTCGATGGCTTCGTATTTCAACCGGCTGTCCACACTCTCCACAAAGCAACGCAATGCATCTGAAATTATGACGACCTTACTGATAAGAATGTGAAGGTGTTCTTTATGCATTTGCTTATTCAGCAAATGGTTGGACTACTAGCATTTACATGAACATTTAGAAATCATGACATTTTTAGGCCTAGCTCTGACAGGATACTGAACCTAAATGGTAGCAACACACAGTCTTGTTCCTAGATGGTACACACAATAACAGAGTTGGGGACCTTCTGTTTTAGCTGACAATGCAGACAGTACTTTGGGGGATCACAGAAGAAAACTTTGCAAAATGGCACTTGGTTTAATGGGACTACAATTCAGGTGTTGGCTTTGCACCAGCTAACTGAGACCAAATGATACACCTTCATGTTTGGTTCCATTTCTGATCAAAACACAAGTGTGCACAAGACAGATGTCTGATTCCACAGCTGTGTAAAGCCTTAGTAGGTTGTACTGTAGGTTTATTATTATTAAGACCAGTACCAACACATGTACTGACAAAAGTGGACATAAAAAGTTTGCCTTTAATCATTTAAAGCATCATGTGCCACAAATATTTTGTAATCTCTATATTCAGGAAAGGAGCTTTGTACTGTTGCTGTGTTAGTTGGTTTAAAAGAAACTAATCCAATATTCTTTTACATTTAAAGTCAAACTTAGAAACCACTCTATACTTTGTTTGTTTTGACTTTGGTGCATATTTAATCCAAATTGTAATCCCAAAATAAGGGGAACATAGTTAGCCATTGCTTTCCATTAGCTCCATCTTTAGCACTTCCTATGGGACTTTGTATGTTACTCTTAACAACTGGACCAAAGTGACAGTGACCCAGCAGATGCTGAAAGAACATGTACAAAACGTCAGGTCTAGTGTGAGTTAGTGCTCATAGTGGAATTCAGTTTAAAAGCACAATGGATTTTCCCAAATGTTCAATGTTTTAATAAATGCTACACAAGGCATAAATAGGGTAACTTATGATTGATACAGTAGCTAACAATATGTACAGTTTTTCAAAAAAAGGCTTTGTATGAATGGTCACTATATTGCGATTAGCATACTGCCATGCCCCACCACCATTTCTCCATATTAGGACATAGTTTGGCTAGAGGTGTATCATGGAGAAAGGAGTGATGGAAGAAAGAGCCATGGCCTCTAAAGCTAAAGAGAGAAATCATTTCACGACTGAAGAATCGAAACAACAGGTGGAAGCCAGAAAAGGCTCACTGAAATGTTTCCTCAGGAGTGACCACGTGGGAAAACAAATTGCCTTGGGCTGTAATATCTCCCAGCATTACTAGATATGCCATCGTAACAACTGCTTGGAGGTCAATGGGGATCTTTTATACGGCCTGTATGCCTGTGAACAAACTACCAATGAACATTTGCTACATATGTGCAATGGCATGGCACTAGAAATCGGTGGGAGTAGCTGAACATTATAGGCCAAGTTCAACTCAATTTTATTTATATACACTGATCAGCCATAACATTGTGAACACTGACAGTGAATAACTGATTATCTGGTTATCATGGCTCCTGTCAGTGGGTGGGATATATTAGGCAGCAAGTGAACATTTTGTCCTCAATGTTGATGTGTTAGAAGAATAGAAAAATGGGCAGCGTGAGGATCTGAGCAACTTTGACAAGGGCCACATTGTGATGGCTAGACGACTGGGTCAGAGCATCTCCAAACCTGCAGCTCTTGTGGGGTGTTCATGGTCTACAGTGGTCAGTACCTATCAAAAGTTCTCCAAGAAAGGAAAAGCGGTGAACCGGAGACAGGGTCATGGGCAGCCAAGGCTCCTTAATGCACGTGGGGAGTGAAGGCTGGCCTGTGTGGTCCGATCCAACAGACGAGCTACTGTAGCTCAAACTGCTGAAACAGTTCATGCTGGTTCTGACAGAAAGGTGTCAGTACACACAGTGTATCACAGTTGGTTGGTATGGGGCTGCAGAACATTCTGACCCAGGTGGCCTGGTATTTATATAATGCCAAATTGTAATAGAAGTTATCTCAAGACACTTTTCATATAGAGCAGGTCTAGACCTACTCTTTCAATAAAAACCTGTTACATTTCATTTTGACATTCTCAAACTTCATTGGAAGCTAGGAATGGGACACTTTTATGGTTGAATATTTTAATTACGACAATAAATGGTGAGGATCAAAGGGCGTCAATTTCATGGTGATTTAATGCATTTAGAAAATTAACGCTTTAAAATGTTGTCTATTATAGCTATTTTTAATGAATGCAGTTTTGCTCACACATGGTCTGAGGTGGTTCTAAACTTGTTCGTAAGTTTAGGCACATATTTGTGGGTATGCACTGTTTGTAAATGAGGCCCACTGTCTTTTGGAAAATGAAAGAAAATATGTAGAATAGCTGCAGTATTGTTATAGCTTATATTCTCTTTATAAAAAGAAATCAAATTTAAAGCTGCAGTAGGTAATTTTTCTGAAAATAACCCTTTGTTTTATTAGCTGAAACTTTCCCTATATCCTGACAGTAAAACAATAATAGACACAATAATAAGAGACAATAATAATCTGTGAAAAAAATCAGGTTCCTCTGGCTCCTCCTAGTGCTGGACTAGGACCTGAATGAAAACAACCAATCAGAGCCTAAGAATGATAGTTGATTTTTGATTTCAATTCAAACTATATTCAAGCCACCAACCCAAAGTGCCTTTCCATCTTCCTTGGCTCTGATTGGTTGTTTTCATTCAGGTCCTAGTCCAGCACTAGGAGTAGCCAGAGGAACCTGATTTTTTCACAGGTTATTTACTACTTCTTTCAGAATATAACTAAAAGTTACCTGCTGTAGTTTTAAATTGGACTTCACAGCTGATGTACTGGTTAGCTCGACAAAAGTCTGGCGCGGTAAGCCAGTTTCAACTTCTCAGTGAAATTAAAGAGCCACTATGTGACAAATGGAAAGCTGAAACAGCAAAGCTACAAATACAGGAAGAGGAAAGCACTACATTGACAGGATACGAGGCACCAAGAGCCAATTACAGTGAGCATGCAGAGGCGTAGAAATACCAAAACAGCTTTAGTTCACTTCACACACACGCATCCATCCACACACACACACACACACCACACACACACACCCTCTTTCTTGGCCTATGTGCTACAATATTAAAGGCTGAGGGTAGAGTGTGTTCTTCTGTGTCCATGCCAGCTGGCAATAGATAGTAATGGGTGAGGAGGAGACATGGGGTCCACGTCTTCGTTTTATAAACCAAACTATACGTTAACCCCAACATCAATCAATTGCACCCACTCTTCTCAGTTTGAGCCTGGTCTTCATTTTCAGTCTAATTTGGTCACTACTCCCTCATGACCAAAAGCTGCATCACAAATACATCCTAGTCCAGTGTTCCAGCAAAGAACAGTTTGTCCCCGTCCCCCGTCATCATCCTCAGTCCCATCAGTTAGCAGGTCAAAGTTCAAAGGCAGGGAAACAGGAGGCTTCAGGGTTTGCCATCTCTGACAGGTAGTAGATGGTCCCTGCCATACCTGAGAGGAGGAACACATCCATTACTGCGAGCTACAGACAGAGGGCGGGCAGATGACCAAATTCACATCAAACCTCAGTTTAACACATGATGGAATTCACATCACGATTATGTGGATGTGAAAAGTATAATTTGTGCTTAAGGAAGAGGTTGGGGTGGTGGAGGAAGCTGTGGCAGCAGTTTATCAGCAGGGTAGTGAGACATGTCAGATTTAAAAGCAGGGCTCCAGACTATCAGCCTCCCCTCATCCTGGGGAAAACAGAAATCTTCCCCGGGACATTGCTGGGAAGATTTTTTCTTTTTTAAACCAATACTTTATTGAGGAAAATGCTTGGAAATGTTGCACATAGTTGGAAAAATATTACACAAGGAAAGTATCGCTTAGCAAATGACAAATGAAACCAAGCTCCATGCTGTTACGATCACTGGCTGGCTACTCAGTGTGAGACTTTTTATTAGTCATTTAATTGAACCAGTCTAGCCAGCTGCTTGCTACTAGCTAGCTAACTTTAGCCAGGTGCTACCCTGGCTGTGGCGGGCACATTATTTTCTCCCTGATAACGCTACATTGGAGGAGGAGATTCTGTGGTTTATCAGTGAAATGTATGAACTGCTCTGCAGAATGGAGTCTCTGTTAACAGTGACAGACAGACAGATCTGCATTATATACACTCGTCTCAAATAATCTCTCCCCCGCGACCAGGCACACCTCCAACTGTGACTGACTACCAGCATCCTGTGTATGGCAAAACAAGATGGTGAGCTTTTGTTTTTCGGAGTGTGTGGGATTGTTTCTTCAGTTTTTGGACCATGATGTGAAGTTAACATCTACAGACTACAGTAGGCTGTAAGGAGAAATGATAGGTTGCTTTTGAATAAATCTCTGTCATTCAGTCTGCAGTTTCAATCTCTCGTCATACTTCTGTGTAAAAGGGCTGCACACCCCCACCTAAAAAAACAAACAGAAAAGGGTTTACAGCCAGCAGAGCTAGGACTGGGTCCTCTAATCTCAGTGCACCACTTAATGTAAGAGTGACGGCCAGGAAAACGGCTTGAATGATTTTGTGACAGTTTACATTCACTTTGGGAAAATAGCTTTTTGGGACTGTGGTGAAAAAAAAAAAATCTGGAGCCCTGATAAATATATTCTTCATTAATACACATTTCAGTTCCTCCAACAAATAAGTAGTATTTACTGTCTCCATGAGCCTGCAGTTTAAAAGCTGTGATTAGGCCTCCTGCTTCTGTGCAGTCAGTGGTTGATTCCTACTCAAAGAAGCTTTTGTGCTGTGCTGTGCTGCCAGTCGTGTTCTTAATTCCTTCATTACAGCTTAGTGAAAGGCCACTCTAAGTGCTCTCAGAGAATTACACAGGATGCTGAATAATTGGCCTCTGATGGAAGAAGTATTACATTGATTGAAAAGAAGTGGTTCTTGAAAAAGACAAATGTCAGGGCAGTTTTTTAGTCAATCTGGTGGAAAGTTGAATAATAAATGTTTGATACCTTCAAAAAGAGAGTAGGGTCTGTCTGGGATGCGACAGCCGTGGGTCCCATATGCCAAACACCACTCGGCAAACTGGAGGAAGGAAATGATAATGTGTTTATAGACATTCGTGTAACATTTGTCTGTACATGCTTCACAAGATGCAAAACAGAAAGAAAATTATTTGATTCAAATGATTGACTTCAAATGTTGCTGCTTTCTTTAAGCTGTGGCCTTATTTTGATCATTTAAGCCATTGTTCCTAAAATAACTTGATACCTGCTTCATTAATGAGATTTTAAAGAGGAGGACTCTCGAAATATGCTGCTATCCAGTTAATGGAGAGTAGACCACTAAGGCTAGTGGTTGCTAGTGGTCGGAAATGACATTTTAATGCAGTCTTGCTGTAGAATACAATGCAGTTCCAGCTGTTTTAATAAAGGAAATAATAAATCCACACTTAGTTTGTATGCAGGCTGTTGGGTCTCAACAGAAAACTAAAAAGTTGCACTTAGAGTTAACTATCAGGTTCTGACGACGACTTCCCAGATGGTTCTGTAAAAAACCATCCGGCTCAGTCATGTAAGGTATAGTGATGACAACAGTAACACTGGCTTTGATATGAAAAGTGAGCTAGATTTAAGGCTACAATATGTAATCATTTTTCTAAAAGGGCAGCATCTCCCATGTACATAATACATACTAAATTTTACTTCCTCTAATGTAATCATTTCCTGCGATCTTTCAGGGCTGGTCCAAAACTGTTCGTTTGTTGTCAAATCAGTATCAAAGTTTGCGGTCTTACCTTGCAGACGCGGTACAGGTATTTCTTCTCCTGGGTGAGCTTGTAAAGGGACAGGAAGGCGTAGCCGTTGCCGGCGGTGCCATGGCAGATGCCGTAGCCTTTTCTGAGCAGGCCCCGCTGCCAGATCACTTCAGCACATTCCGCAGCCTCCTTTAAGTACTTCTCCTCTTTAAACACCTGGGAAGACACAGATGAAGACAAATGAAGAGTCAAACCCGGTACAGAGGAGGAGCTGGTAATGAGGTAAAGGAGTGTGTGGTCAAATAAACCGGACAAACTTCAAATACATGACAGACGTCAGCAGCAAATTCATAATATTGTGGAAAGATTTAAACTTGTTAGCATGTTTTGTAATTTTTCCCTCTTCGGACTATATACAGTTGTTGGCTAGTCTCCTGAAACACCTTTCTTTTTTTTGGAGATTCATTCTTTTTTCAAATCCGAGTATAAAGAAACAAAGATACTGAATATCAGCAGAAAACATCAGCTATAAAACATCCAGAAAACAAGCCATAATTCTTTCATCATTTAAGCCGCACAATACACAATAACATCTTCCTGATGTTTGCCTGGAGAACAGATGAGAGTTGAGTCCACATAAAAAACGAGCTGTTCCCACATGCCCAGACCTAATTAATGAGTAATACGTCTCATCAAGAGTAGAGCGATGCTACTTCATTTCATGACAGAGTCATCTGTCTGACATGTATGAAGCTGATGAGACAGACTGAGACACAGTGTGAACATAGTTTGTCTGTTAGATGTGATGTTAGAAAAGCAGCAGTGTGATGTCCCCACTGGCTTCAAACAAAGTTATACATACTAATCAACATAAACATTGATTAGATATATACAAGAGACTTAACACAGATGTGCATCACAGGGGATTTAGGACTGGGTACACGTGATGCTGATTTAAAAATAAGTAAATAAACAAAAAACTAAATAAATCTTACCTTAAACTAGCTAGCCATATCCTAAGATTACCATGGATTACTGACATGAATCTTGAAACACTACCGCACAAAGTAAACTCAATCTATAGCTAATGTGTATGTATTCAGACCCCTTTAAATTTTTCACTCTTTGTTTCATTGCAGCCATTTGCTAAAATCAAAAAAGTTCATTTTATTTCTCATTAATGTACACTCAGCACCCCATCTTGACAGAAAAAAACAGAAATGTAGAAATTTTTGCAAATTTATTCAAAAAGAAAAACTGAAATATCACATGGTCATAAGTATTCAGACCCTTTGCTCAGTATTGAGTAGAAGCACCCTTTTGAGCTACTACAGCTATGAGTCTTCTTGGGAATGATGCAACAAGTTTTTCACACCTGGATTTGGGGATCCTCTGCCAGTCTTCCTTGCAGATCCTCTCCAGTTCTGTCAGGTTGGATGGTGAACGTTGGTGGACAGCCATTTTCAGGTCTTTCCAGAGATGCTCAATTGGGTTTAGGTCAGGGCTCTGGCTGGGCCAGTCAAGAATGGTCACAGAGTTGTTCCGAAGCCACTCCTTTGTTATTTTAGCTGTGTGCTTAGGGTTATTGTCTTGTTGGAAGGTGAACCTTCGGCCCAGTCTGAGGTCCTGAGCACTCTGGAAGAGGTTTTCTTCCAGGATATCTCTGTACTTGGCCGCATTCATCTTTCCTTCAATTGCAACCAGTCGTCCTGTCCCTGCAGCTGAAAAACATCCCCATAGCCTGATGCTGCCACCACCATGTTTCACTGCTGGGATTGTGTTGGGCAGGTGATGAGCAGTGCCTGGTTTTCTCCACACATACCGCTTAGAATTAACGCCAAAAGTTCAATCTTGGTCTCATCAGACCAGAGAATCTTATTTCTCATAGTCTGGGAGTCCTTCATGTGTTTTTTGGCAAACTCTATGCGGGCTTTCATATGTCTTGCACTGAGGAGAGGCTTCCGTCGGGCCACTCTGCTATAAAGCTCCGACTGGTGCAGGGCTGCAGTGATAGTTGACTTTGAGGAACTTTCTCCCATCTCCCTACTGCATCTCTGGAGCTCAGCCACAGTGATCTTTGGGTTCTTCTTTACCTCTCTCAGGCTCTTCACGAGTGCTCAGTTGCTGGCCAGGTCTAGGAAGAGTTCTGGTCGTCCCAAACTTCTTCCATTTAAGGATTATGGAGGCCACTGTGCTCTTAGGAACCTTGAGTGCTGCAGAAATTCTTTTGTAACCTTGGCCAGATCTATGCCTTGCCACAATTCTGTCTCTGAGCTCCTTGGGCAGTTCCTTCGACCTCATGATTCTCATTTGCTCTGACATGCACTGTGAGCTGTAAGGGTTTATATAGACAGGTGTGTGCCTTTCCTAATCAAGTCCAATCAGTTTAATTAAACACAGCTAGACTCCAATGAAGGAGCAGGACCATCTCAAGGAGGATCAGAAGAAATGGACAGCATGTGAGTTAAATATGAGTGTCACAGCAAAGGGTCTGAATACTTAAGACCATGTGATATTTCAGTTTTTCTTTTTTAATAAATTTGCAAAAATTTCTACATTTCTGTTTTTTTCTGTCAAGATGGGGTGCTGAGTGTACATTAATGAGAAATAAAATGAACTTTTTTGATTTTAGCAAATGGCTGCAATGAAACAAAGAGTGAAAATTTTAAAGGGGTCTGAATACTTTCCGTACCCACTGTAAAATATACGATACCGGTTTCTGAATGACATTTTCCAATACCAATTTTATAAAATGTATTTTAACATTATACACTACGGTAGAATTACAAGACCTGGGAGCAGCTGGAGAAACAGTTTTTACTATGTGCACTTTCCTCAGCTCAGATAGGGGGTTAGCTGCACTAGACAGCTAACAAGCAGCACAAAGCGATGAGTTTTACTCTGTTGGTATTGAACTTTGGTACCGAATGACGGTAGTATCGACGCAATTCAGTTGGTGCCATAAAAGTTCAGTACCCAGTCCAAAGTCTGTCTGAGTCTCACTCTACTCGGACCATGAAATATACAGGTTGTGCAAAGAACTGGTGACTACTGGAATGGATTGGATGGGGAATGAGTGCGACATCTAGTGGCTGAATGTTATCTTTAGCACATTGATATATGGCTTAAATGATATAAATAAAAAAAGCTTTGTGTTGCATAGCAACATGTAGCCTTTGACATCTTCCTGTGTTGCTAATGATGCTCACCTTCACTTGTGTAGGAAACAATAACAGTGCTTACACAGTTTGTAACTTCTCTCCATAATCAGATCTCCATTATTATTGCTCAATGAAACAATGATTGTATGACAATATTCACATATTCTGAACCAAACCCATCATGCACTGTAAACAAACATCTTTAAATGGAACACAGGATGTTCACACTACAGCTGCAACAGCTACCCTGAAATAATCACTGACAAAATACATGCAGCCACTGAAATGCCCCTCCTGCGACAACAAATAGAAGGTCTGTTAATAGCGAGACAGTGATAAGCAATCATGTCTCCCATTGTGCTTTGTTCTCTGTGTGGTGCCAAAGAGTCTCTGCATTAGTGAGAGGAATAAAAATGCCAGAATAGCAGCACATTAGCTGCCAAGTGGCTCCCTAATGGGCCAAGAAAAGAAGAAATTTGCCTTCAATGCATTACTGCAGTATGTGTGTGTATTCCCAACCAGGCATTTAAAATGAAAGCTAGCTGGTGTTGAGCCAGGAGGGGGGGATTCATATCCCATCTTTGTCATAATCTTAACTTCATCAGTGACAAGATAAAGTGTGTGTTTAATCAGATAGATGTGTAGACTGTTCTCTTGAAAAAGGCAACATACTTCACATTTTATACAGATATGTAACACAATATGCTGTCTATGTAGTGCAGAGCCCTGCCACAGGGTGCCAGTGTTGTTCATGTGTGTGAGATGGACAGGGTGGTTTCATAAAGCAAGCGTTAATGTCTGGTCAGTTCAGAGTGATACTGATGTTGTTCGAGTGTTGTTACACAAAGCATTGTTTTCAGCATAAACCAGTCCCACCTTATGAGCCATGATGAGCATATGGATGACACCAGGGGCTCCGTGGCACCAGTGAACCAGGCGATCACTCTCGTTACTCAGCGACGATGGGAAGTTCCCAGAACGAAACTTCTTGTGGCGGACGTAGTCGATGCTAGGACGCACTAACTCTGACAGAATGTCTAGATGCACCTTTGCTCCTGGCTGGAGACAGACAGAGACAGAGTTCAGTAATACTAGCCTGCTTTGGCAACATTTACTGACAACAAGAAAAACAATAGGAAAAGAAGAAGGACTAGAGCTCGTTTGTAGAGGTGATGCCTTTGAGTGGAGAAAGATGGGTTCTTAAAACTAATTAATTTCTGTTGAATGAACTGCTAACTCTCAGAAACAAAAAGTGTAATTGGTATTAACAAAAGTTAATACCAATTACGTAAAAGTTCTAAATTTATCAGACGTGTCTGACGTAGTATGATTTGAAAATGTTATATGGTTATGTGTTATATCATTTAATGAGTTTAATTAATTAGCCGCTTGGTTTCTTTAGGATATTCTTTTCAGCAGCATTGTTAAATGATATAATGACAAATACTAATGCTCAACAATAATCACCCAAAAAAGTCTGACACGCCTTAAAAAATGAAGCAGATTCTTTAACTGGTCTAAATGGATTCAACACACACCCAGAGATTGATGTAGAAATGAATTATTCATTTCCAGGAAGGAGTTCAGTGTGTTAATGAGAACATCAGCAGACAGGAAGGAGACACAAGAGTAAACTCTGTGGACTGAAAAAAAAGAATACATTCATTTCTCCCTCAAAAGATTCTGTACCACTGCAACTTTTAGGGCTGTTAAATCTAACCAACAGCACTTGAAGGCTCCAGAGTACAGGCAGACGGAGATCCACTTCATACTCATTTGCAGGCCACAGTTTGATCAAATCTTACAAAAGAACTGATCTAGCTAAGCTTCCAACAGCACTTGTGTGATGTGTTGCTGTAGGAGTTAACAGCTCCTCCACTGGCTCTCAGCCCAGGACAGTAAGACACTACACCAGACATTAGAGCAACATTAAACCACTGACCTATTGAATAATGTTCCAGCTGCACTGTATACTGGCAGTCACCGAAAGATAGCTCTCTTACCAAATAATGAAGCAGAATCACTGGAGACTTGAGAATCATGACTGAAAGGGTCTGTGTGGCTGAAATCTAAGCATCAATACATCTTAAAACACACACATTACCATAAATGAAACAAACCTTTGCCAAGAGGGTCTAACCTCTGGCTTCACTGTGTATGGGAAACTTAGTCCTAATTCTGACAACAGCCAGCCAATATATTAGTCTCCTTATTTAGGCCATGTTTTATAATTGTTCCTATAAAAATTGAGAGAATTAAGAATGGAAAACACATGTGGTTCCTACTGAAACCACTTGAATCACCTATTCCTCGTTTTTAAAAGCGGCAAAGACACAACAAGAACGTTGGTGCAGGCAATATGGCCTGAAAGTGCAGCAATTCAAATCTGCATCCTTTTTAGTACTTTTTGGGGCTTTTTATTGCCTTTATGATAGAGACAGCTGAAGATAGACAGGAAAGGGGGACAGAGAGAGGGGATGACATGCAGCAAAGGGCCGCAGGTCAGATTCAAACCCTGGGCCGCTGCAGCAAGGACTCAGCCTTGGTACATGGGTCGCCAGCTCTACCCACTGAGCTAACCGGGCGCCCCAAATCTGCATCCTTTAACAGTTAAAGGTTCAGTGTGTAACATTCAGGATCTATTGTCAGAAATGGAACAAATTATTCACAGGTATGTTTTCATTAGTGTATAATATGAAAATAAGAGTCATTGTCTTTTATTACCTTAGAATGAACCATTTGTAACTATAGAGGAAGCAGGTCTTCTTCTACAGAGTCTGCCATGTTTCTACAGCAGCCCAGAACGGACAATCCAAACACTGGCTCTAGATAGAGCCTTTCAGGTTAACTAGCTAGCTTTAGTTTTTGTCACAGTCTACTCTGAAGAGTAGAAGACGGCGCTGAAGAAACAGCAACTTTTTATGTCTTTTCTGTGGCAACTCAGTAACTATTCTACTGCAACCTGAGCCTATCTACACACATCACCTGACAATGACAATGCTAACGACCAACCAGTGGACCCATTCAGCCTCTTGCACTCACTTACCTGCATGAGCATGTAATAGATGCCAGCCATGCCGTGGGCAGCACCAATGTACTGCTTCTTGTGCCATTCATAGAGCAGAGGGCAGCGATCTGTTTTTTTCTGCTCTGCTGACATATTCTTCCCTGATTCCAGGATGGCTGTCACCACCTGAGGAGTGGAGAGAAAGAGTTGCAGAAGGTAAATGACTGGACTTAGTGGATTCTGGCAGAACAATAACTGTTTCTGGGAACAGAAATCCTTCAGCTTGCCAGGCTTGTAAAACAATTTCCTTAAATCCTTAATTTGGAGAAAGTCTACTGAAGAATTAGTGCTGTCAAAATTTGCCAAAATTATTCATTCACTATTTGAATATCTAATTTTGTGCTTTATGTCTATAAACCTATATATAAGATACAGTAACTATGGATGTGTAACAGATGTGACCCTCTCTCAGCCTATCATTTCCAATTTGCCAGTGTTTCTGTAATGCCGGTAGCGTATGTTTGTAGCTGTAGCTCAACCCAGTTGTTCTATTCTTGATTATAGCAGATAATTATATACACATACATTTGAATGTATGCTAGTTCTTCTCAAACACTCCTTTCAGTCACTTTGTTGTTCAGTTCTGCTAGCTACATTACTATAGCCTGGTACAGCTTTAAACTGATTTAGATAATAAATGACAGCCCTTGAGGTATTTGAATTTCTCATTTCAGCAGAGCTCATTTTTGGACATCTGGAATTACATTATCCTTCACATAGATGATGCACGTACTGTGTAGAAAGGTCATGCTGAGCATTAAAATGTAAGGTAAGTCAAGACTATGAATATGTAAATGTAAATATATGCACATTTAAACAAAAGCTTTGACCTAAAAAGGCTAACTCTGAACATGGTAGACTCCTTGACATTTGAAATTTGGATAGGACTAACTGAGCCTGACGCACAAGCATCACTGCTGTCCACAATGAAAGTAACAGAGGAATAAATTAGCTGAGAAGGTCAATAGCTCAACTCAAAAATAGGGAAGCCAGATCTCTCTGGACAAGAGCGACAGGAACCTTACTTGAAGCTTTGGCTTCAGTGCTGTCAGTATATGCTGACAGAAGCAGTTACTGGAGCCTGAGAGCATCGTTATAGAGCCCATCAGTTTGCCAACAAACTTAAACTCGATCAATCGTGATCAATTCCACAAATGTTGTCTACGTGCTCAGTCTTGAACCTGTTTAACCTAACTTTCTACACAAGTCTGAATGATAATATTGATTATCAACCATATTATCTGTTTCATGACAAGAATGCTGTCTGCCAGGCTTTTCTAACCTGGAGTAAACACTGAATTATTGTCTGTATTGTCTATTGTCAGCAGGCATGAACAAAAAATTCACACTCTCTGCCTGTGTTGCTATCCCAGACTTGCTCTGGTTTGTTTAAAAAACTGGTCTGGCCGCATGTGCATGTGAGTCTCTCTATAACCGTTTCACAAATATTTTCTCGGAGAATTAAAAGGTCTATTTCGACCAACCAAGAGTTGGTGATTGCTGGAAAGATGATTGAGAGACTAACAAAGACAGTTTAGGTGAGTTTTATTTTGTTTCGTTCAGTTTGTAGTGTGTTTTACAATTATCTGCAAAGTAAAAGTCTGCCATAGTGCCCATTGTTTTGGTCTGAGATGCAGACCACCCCATCAACATCAGGTCTGAACTGCCTGCGGTACACAAGAAAAATAATATCTAATAGTTAAGTGTCATTGTGGACACTCCATGACCTTTCATCTAGCACCACCCTTTTTATTTTTCCTTATTGTTTTGAACAGGCACAAACAGTAGATTGTATCTGGCTGCAACCCAGACAATCTGCTGGTGGAAAAACACCAACTCCTCAAAAACATGTGTAATAAGCTGAAATAAGTGTGCACGCACGCTAAAATACCCCAGAGAGTAGAATAATGAAAAAACCTAGAGTTAAAATCTTGACATGAAGAATAAAAAAGTTGCTTTAGAAAGAACACAGAGACAAGAGTCCAAAGACAAAGAGAAGAAAACAGCCCCCTGGAGCACAGCCGCTGTTTGGTAAAGCGTGCAGAGTGCTGCTGTGCTGTGTGTGGTGGTGACAGGTATACGAGTACAAATGATGGCAAGATGAAGAGTAGTGCGGTGCTGCAGGAAGCTGGAGCTTTAGAAGCTTCACATTTTTATTCCTTCATTAGTCATAATAATACCTCTATCCAACACTTCTGTGACTGCGAGCCCACTGCTGCTGCCTACTCTCTCAGCCCTTCTGTCCCACTGTGTTTGAGAGTGTGAGTGTGTGTGTGTGTGTGTGTGTGTGTACACAATATATGCGTTTCGGCCTGGCTCCTTACCAAAGGGGACAGCTGGTCTTGCAGTTTCTGCAGTGAGTGTGTAAGAGCTTAAAAAAATAATAAAAATAGAGTGTGGAGGGATTATTACTTACAGGGGAAAAAAATGTTGTCTATCATGTAAAGATGCTTTCCAAACACAGTTTCCCCTCCTCTGATTTCCTGACGCGATGCAGATGCGTGTTGAAGTTCTACATTATTTATTGTTTTTTGGTCAATGGGGACAACATGCAATGGGAATTTTCTTAGAATCGTGCAATATGCAACACTGGCAGGACAGCACCTCGCTGTCCTGCCCCTAGGAGGGGAAGAAGAAATAAGGAGACAGGTCACTAGAACTTTCTCCAGAGCTCACACAGCACTGAGGAAACAAGACTACTGGCACTGTTAGTGACGATATACAACAACATTTGGCTCAAGGCAAGTAACAAATGCTGCTTTCTACTGTTTACTAACCCTGTTTTCCAGTGGGTCCATGATGTTCAACGTGACATGTGATAAAAAATGTTTTTAAAAAAAAAACCCCCCAAAAAACCAAAAAGGCAAACTCGGCTACTGGCAATGGGAAAGAAGTCAATCTAGTATGGCCTAGTTCCAGCTGTGTTTTTACACATTTTTACACACAAACCTATTTTATTTATATATTTGGACTTATATTATTTGGTCCGGACTTTTACCTATGATGTCATGTGAATGTGAATATGACAAAAGTGAGATAAAACATTCCTGCTTTGAAAAAAATCATCAGCTCGGACAAATAGGAATATATAAGAATATATGTTCATGCTTCATTATACTTCAAACTAAAATATTAATTTAAAACACACGTAAAAATGCATGTAAAAATCGATGAATGAATAACCTTTTAATTTAGAAATGTGTGTGTATCACCTTTGTAATGGTGTCCTCATCCACTGTGTCAGGTCCTATCTCTTTGTTAATGTAGAGCAGAGCGTAAAGGTAGCCGGCCCGGCCGTACAGCAGCTCGTCTGGGATGTCGGAGTCTGGACTGAGCACTGACCGCTGCAGCTGGAGGAGCCTGACAGACACACACAGGCTCTGGTGGATATTGGATACTTTGATAGCAAATATAGAAGATCATTTTGAGATATTACATATTGTTATTTCATTAAAATATAACAAATCCCATCAAAAGACCCAAGCCAACAACGGATGTATCCTAACAAGTACTGTGTGTATCCTTTATTTCTGTGTGCCATAGAGCTCCATTGTAGGGCTCGGCTCTACCACCTCACATTTACCTTGGTACCGATCAAGGATTTCTTATAAAATACATCTGTCTGTCCTCACAGTGCAGCTCTTATGAACTGTCTGTTCAGAAAATAATACAAAAAAATGATTTTGACTGAGTATTATTCACTATTTGAGAACACCTTTAAGAAAAGTCAAACTAAAGTATGCAGAGGTGAGCTCTGTTATGACTACCAAAATAATTATTATATATAGAACTGAATAACACTTTTATGGCTTCTGGTGCTGTAGCATTTATTTTCTGACCGACTGTAGCTCATGCTGCATTCACGGTCACATTAACAGTTTTTACCGTGCCCATGACTGATATGACATCTATTTTGGGTACCAGCTCTTTCTCATCTGCCCCCGCTGCATCTCTCCAACATTTCCAATGTTTTAGTCGCTTTGTCTCTCCGAATTATACTGGACACACAAGGTTAAAACTGCTGATGGAACAATGCCGAGTCGAACTATGGAACAAACCCACACAGTGAACTGAACTGTGCATACAAGAGAACTATACGGTCTGAAGGGGTTGATGGGACAGGGATGCAAAGCAAGCGTTTCCCTACAGTTTACTCACACACTACTTTAATCTGCTCACACGCACACACTCTTTCTGTTTCTCCTTGTAAAATATACACACTGTCCAGGTCTTTTAACACAATACCAGATAACGTCTCCCTCTCCCTCCGACCTAAAATAGGTCACCGGCCTTTTAACACTATTAAACTATACACCATTGACAAGATATTCCGGCAGTCCCTGTTTTCACAGTTATAAAAGAATAGAAGCTCTGTTCTTTCTTTTGATGCAATCACTGTTTACATATTCATAGAAAATAATATTCTATGCATCTTGAATGATTGGTGATTATGATCAGAATTGCTGGTGGTGTATCAGGTGTCAAACTTGCTTTAGAATAATCAAAAAATGGACGTATCACCATGGCAAAGGTCGAAGCATTTGGTTCAGCCCTAATTCTTTAAATGTTTTGAAGATTTAAGTAACAACAACAAGTACCTCTCTGTTCTGCATGTGTGTGCGTGAGTGTGTGACCCAAGGTTATCGTAGTTAACTAAAACTAAACTAAAAACAAAAACTAGGTTTGAATAAACATTTAACATGAAATACAAATAAAACTGAGACTTAAAAAAAAATGTCAACCCAACAAGCATTGGGACGTCTACATGACTGAGTGTGTTTTTATATTATAATTCCAATTCTGAACTTAAATCTTGCCCTTTACAAATGCGCCCATATTACAACAACTGTAACTAATGAAAATTAAACTAAAACTAACAATTTTTAAACAATAAAAACTAAACTGAAATGGGCAAATCCACTGTAAACGAAAAAATTAAAAATTAAATACAAATAAAAAATACACAACAACAATAACGCTGGTATGACCAGCCCTTCTCCTGCTAATTCTCCAATCACATACCTACTTCAAGCCACTGACTAAACAAAAAAACAAAACTATTCAAAAATGTCTTTGACTGTCTGAAATATATCGTACATATCGTATAAAACACAAATTTTGCATTTAAGAAGGCGATGTGCTAACAGTCCCACCCAGAGTCAGACACTCACCTGGACAGACAGTCTTTGCTGTCAGCAGTGTTGTTCAGTTTGTGGTGGACCACTGCGCCCACTGCCAGCGGCCCGGCGTCACCACACAGGAATGTCACTTTGCGACCATTCAGGATCCTCATGGTCCTTTTCACATAGTCCAGTGCCCTCTGCAGGTGGGAGGCCTCGTTGGACACCCGGTGCAGCTGGAGGTACAGCAATGCAATGCCTATAGCAGAGATAGTAGATCAGGGATCAGTAAGTGGTTGAACCTGACACATGGAATTAACATGTCATCACAGTTCTATAGTGCTGGCCACAGACCCGTCCAGCCGGTGTACGTGGAGAAGTCATGGGGATCAGCTGTCTTCAGGCCCTCCTCCATCTGCTGGAGGAGATCTTTGATCTTATTCTGGACCTTCTTCTGGAATGCTACGCTCACCTGAGGAGGAGAGAGAGCATATTTATAAAGACATTATCAGGCCTCAATGATAGTACACTAAATATCTTTTAATGTGCTTGTTTTGTCAGACCAATGATCCAGAAACAAATGTGTCAACGTGGGCTCTGGAAATTTGTGATTGGCATTTTTTAACCTAAACCAGTGTTTCTCAAATGGGGGTACATGTACCTGTAGAGGTACTTTAGAGTTCAATAAGACAATGTTAGTGTAAGTTCGATAAACCCCTATTTAATATTCAATATTCCTGTTTTAAATGCAACTGTTACCTTCTGTAAGCTGTCATCTGCAATTTAATGAACTGCAGTTGCCTGCCTGCCACCGAGAATGAAGAGCTCCTCAGTGAAGCACAAGCCCATGTTTCTCACTAAATTGTAGTGAAGAGTTTGACGCAACTTCAGTGCCATCTTAGTGTTATTGCATGATGACGGAAACATGTTTTACTGCTGTTGAAATCCAGGAAATTATGGGTACATAAAACATATGTCTGGTAGTTGTTTTCTATGGCTGGGATTTTAGAATATTTATATGGCAGAAAGTATGAACTCTGGCTGCAGCCCTAACAGACACGCCCATATTAGAATTACAATATAATATACTATAATAAAATAATACAAATTTGGGCTACACAATTAATCAAAATATTATCAAAATCACCATATGGCCAAATGCAAATGGAAATAATTCTCAATAAAAGTTTCAACGCATTCATTGAACATGTAACAGAAATTCAAATATATTTCAACTTGTGTATTAATTTATTGAATATATGATTGTGTTTTTTTACAATGTGATCACTGTAAATCTACACTTAGTCTATTAGTCAAATGACATATTTTTGAGTTTTCAGATGAGTCCGTTAACCTGATTGGAAAGGAAATAGAGTGTGATGATGCTCTAAATGAAGCTGGGGTTAACTGGAGAAAATTGAGGAGGGGAGGGCAGCTATTTTGCCTGCCTGCGTGAAATGTGAAAACGCCTAGCAGGAGTTATTTGATTTCAGTCTTGTAGGTTGCTTAATCAAGTATTTTACTTCATGTGTTCCATTATTAGACAGGACGAGTAGTGCAGGAGACAGGAAAGTATGGAAAGAAAGGCGAGAGGAGAAGGGGACGGAGAGGAAAGAGGCAGAATAGAAGTACAGGAGAGAGTCAGAGGAGAAGCAAGGTTGACCACAGGCTGTCTGGGTGGGTCTTAATGCATTTTATTAAACATAACTTGGCATCTGCAACTGTGTAAAACTGTGTCTAAAGCCCTTCTCGCATTAGCAGACACACTAAAATTCTACTAGAAACGCTGATGGGAGGGGGAGCATTGATCTGGATGGGGGAGGGAGCAGTGAGAGTTGATAAAACCTGCTCTTGGTGCATAAATATTTTCCATTATTGCGTTTGTGTTAGGTTACAGAATGTTGTTAGCTAATGCCATCTAAACTGTTATTATTGTAACTGGGGTTGTCACTAGTTGTCAACCAATATGGGTGTTCAGTGGCCGATGCTGATATTTAGAGAGCCGAGACCAAAACAAAGACAAGTCATGTATAATTCTGTTCTATGCTATAGGAAATCCATGTGTTTGTTTACAGCAGGAAGAATGAGAGAGTTACAGTACAGGGCTTGGAACCAACTTTTTCACCACCTTGTGAGTGCAGACATCGGCTAATTATCTCAAAATGCCAGATAATCAATAACCAATTAATCGGTCTATCACTGGTTGTCAGGATTCTTCAAATCTTCTATTTGACTTCTGATTTTAAGGCCATTTTAAGGTGTTAGAAAATCACAGGTGTTACCACTGACATTAACAATGACCATTTATTCAGGTGCCCCAGTAAGTCATGGTAGTGTTGCCGGATACTGAAAATTATCTGTGTGGAGCAGCAGGATCCAGACAGATTTCCAAACACAGATGTCAGACTGTTCACGGACTGCTAATGTCACAGATGAAGCTACTAATGACTTCATCTGATGAGCAGCAAAGACTGTTTTCATCTACACAGGTTGAGCTGCAGCTATACATCTGCAGTGTTAATTCCAGAGGTCATAAAACGCCTCAAAGCGTATCCTGTCTGTCATGTACTGTCAGTAGTGGAAAGCCTAATCATTTCTCAGATATCAGCCAGTAGGTTATGACCCAGACTCTTCATCATTGGATTCATTTCAGGAAATGCGATGTTAATTGGGTTATTTTCCACAAGGCTCAAGGCTCTATTTACCCTTTACAGATTTAGCAGCAAAGGTCGGACCATGCTTCAAAGCCTGGTCTGATTGTGGATATGGGCTCTATTCACACTCAGCCTACAGTGTGAACTGTATGAAAAGAAGAGCTGGAGAGCTTCCTGATTCAAAGCAGCTACAGAGATTTAGAGTGTCTCTAGCTCTGTCACTAGCCACCTCTTCAAAACACACAGCGTCTGGGAGTGCTCAACAAACACAGGAGCTATTTGTTGTGAGTCAAGGCCCATTTACTCCTATCCACTGGCCTGAGAAATGAACAGGAACTGCTTAGAGAGTAGGTTTCTCAGCTCTGGACAATCTGTGCTGCGGCAAGTGAAAGCAAGTCATGTGCAGAGTTGTTTTTCACAAACTGGTCTGCATCTGAAGTCACCATTTTACTTAATGCACACAGAGATATGGTTGGGTAAACTGAGGCCAACTGACAATTATTTTCATTATTGATTTATCTGTCAAAGATTTTCTCTATGATCTGGTCAGTTGTATGGGCTATAAAATGTCAGAAAATGGTCACAAATGTTGATCAGGTTACCCCAAGCCCAAGGTGACATCCTCAAGTGTCTTGTTTTGTCCACAACCCAAAGAGATTCAATTAACTGTCATAGAGGACTAAAGAAAGTAGAAAATATTTACATTTGAGAAGCTGAAATCTGACAACTTGGACATTTTTTATTAAAATCATTTGTTGGTTATCAAAGTAGTTGGCGAGCAATTCAATAGTGGACAACTAAGGGATTGATCGTTGCAGGTAGAGCAAAAGGGTTCACTTTATGATAATAGCAATTCCCCCTTTCACACACATTCACACAGCATCAAGAGCAATTTGGGGACCCGCTCTACCTCTGAGCCACAGCTGTAGTAAGAGAGACAGCCTACTCTAAAAGCCTGTTTTTATCAAGGCTGCACAATTAAATCTAAATATTATCCAAATTGCAATATGGCCAAATGCAATATCCAAATAAATGCCACATCATGAATCCTGTTCAATTTTTCAGTGAACATGAAAACTTTAATGCAAAAAGGATCATTCACACTGATCATGAATCGTATCACAATCATAAGCCCAATATGACTGTTTTTAACAACATCAAGCAGGTCTAGTTGTAACATTAAAAGTAAACATACAAACAATAAAGCACATCTACTTGCTTGGCCAAACAACTCAGCCGTGCAGCTGTTATTTTAGAAGGAAACAGGTGTCTGATCTTACATTTTTTGTGATCATACTGAGGATACTAGGACTGACTAGCTCTACACAGCAATACAAGAACAATGTCTTCTAGATAGATCATTATCACTAGTGAGGAAGCTCACTTTTTCCTCCGACATGCAGATTTGCTTCAATTTAGCATATCATGTATGAAGCAGTGTGCAGCAAGTGCAGCAAATTGTTTCAAAAATGAATAAGAATTTCCATTGTAAATCTTCCAACATTATCATTATAAACTGCATACGGTACATGCTCTAGTATGCCCGTGTTTAGGCTGCTTCAAATCAGTTGCTCATCAGTCAGAAAACCCTATTTCCCCCAGCCCAACCCTAAGAGGCTAAAACCCAGAGAGCCTGACCAGAGTCTGCCCTCTGTCCTCAAGCAGGAAGGATTATGACCAAGCTGCCTGTTCTCCCTGCTCTGAGTCACTGCTACCGTCATCCATGGATGAAGGGATCAATGGTGGAGGAAAGAGAACAAAGCAGAGGCAAAGTGACAGACGGGACTGTTTCACAAGAATACATGTTACTGTTTAGCATAACAATGGTATGTTCAGAAAAGCCAGGGAGGAGAATGAGCGAGTACGAGTCAAATGCCTAAAGCTCTGCCTGCAGCTCCTGCACGACCCAACACTATACACAGTTTATGCAATGCATTCCTTATTAGCACTGTTGGAATATATTTTATATACATGCACAACACTTGGGTCAACACAATCTTTCTCATCAACAAAAGCTTTAAATGCAGTTGTGCATCTTCTTTTAGAGAAAATATACCATCAAAGTGTTGCAGTGTTAATTTACAAGGCACTGTTCTGGCCAACGTTTCTTTTTCACAGCCATTCATACCACTCTGACATGAAATAGTAGGGTAAACAATGATACTAATTAAGGTTCTGTTCCATTTAGTGTAGCAGAGCCTTTCCAGTGAGCCAACATGCACAACAGCAGCACCCTGACTCCATTTGACCTAAATGGAACAGAACCTTAATTAGCATAATCATTAACACCTGTGTTTACCCTACTATTATGTCAAAATGGCTGTGAAAAAGGTCTAATAGGTATATGCAAGCGCACTTTCCTGGTAGATGACTTTGTAATGACAACGCTGTATTTCCACCGTTTACCTCAAACTCACTGCAACAAAAGCTAAAATGGCTGCCAACTTTCTAGACTTGTAAAATCCTGTCTCATAACATTATTAACTTCAGTTCAGTGTTTTGTCATCTGATAAGCCTTCAAAATAATGGCCCAATTCCTCAAACTAGCACTCCTGGATCCCTTTTCATCATCTCACTGCCGCTTATTGGTTATTGCTTGAAATCTTGAGGTGGTTTACAGTGAAGCTGAACCCACGGCCACTGCAGCTGTACCAGGGACCACTTCTTCTTCTTCCTCCTCTTCTTATTTTTTTTTAACTTGTTATTGTTGTATACCCCTTGGAAAAAATACCAGTGACCTCAGTGGTGGGTGCAGCCATGCTCACCAAGGATACTCATGTAAACAAAAATCAGAAGTGCTCAGTACTGGTGAGTACCGGCTCATTTCAGGCACTGATGTTACACTGCTTGCTGTGGATCATGGCATTGGATTTATCCCACCTTTGATCAGGCTGCACACGATCTGTCAAGCCTTTTGATAAAACAATGAGAACAGAAATGATTTAGTTGGTACTGGAGGCGTTTCTCATATTTTGTCAACGCCATTTATTTCAGTGAGGATAGATTCAATATTAGAAATACCTCATGCAATAGATTTCAGAAGCAGCAACAACTGCAGCCTCCACACTGAGCACGTTATCTCCTTCATGGCGGGAGAACTCCCGTCTAACCCGCGTGCTGTCAGCCACGTGGAGCGAACACAGTGTAAACAATGCTGCGTCACGGCAAAGTTATCACGAGCGCAGGTGTCTGATGATGAATGTGCGCGCGATGCCGCTCGTGTGCTGGCAGCCTTTATTATCCCATTCAGCTCGGTGTAAGTTAAAGATAGTAGCCGGTGCTTTAAGCTGTATAACAGCACAGAGGAGGGCTGCGTCTGGGGGAGGACAGACAGTACTATGGTACGCAGTCATACTGACAGTCATTAACAAAAGTTGTTGAGAATTTTCCAACCAAAGTCCTCAATGTCTCCAGTTAGCGTGGACGTTAGCTATACGTTATTCGGCAAAGCGCAGTGTACCGTTCCCTTAAAATGTCTTCTATACATTGTGTACATCCAAATCAGTCAGCGTCAACAGCAACAACAACTACGACACAAGCTAAGCTAACGTTAGCTCTAGTTTCTGTTAGCGTAAGCTGTTGTTAAATGTTATTAAAATGCTACAGAAGCTAAACTCACCTTTCCTTCCTCGTCAAATGGATCATTGTAGTCCACGTCTGCTCCGGGGTTGGACGTGAGGTGTCCTTGGTCCCAGTCGGGGTACGGGTTTGGGAAAGAGCGCTCCTCCATCTCTGCCTCTGTAGCCGAGATCAGCTTCAGTCGCTTGGACACGTTATCTCCCATCGCTACGGCGGCTCGGCAGGGACAAAACCCCTCAGGCGCACACACTGTACGGCCGTAATAGTGGAAATAAGCAATCAATGATAAGCAAGAAATTAAATGTTTAAAATTTAAAAAAAGCCAGTGATCAGTGCACATTGACCACATGAGAGTGGAGTGTGGCTTCTATGTGTTTAAAGTGTGCACAGGCAAATGTACAACTACTCCTCACTGTACAAAAGACAGCCAGAAAATGTGCAAATGGGTTTCAAACACGTTAATTACTTACTATAGAATACATATTTCTGTGGGTTAAAGAATCATATAGCGGCAACATGCAAAAGTGACAAAATAGCCTATGCTTTAATTAGATTTTTTATTGTTTACCCCATTTGTTTATTTATAGAGGGACAGTGCACGTTAATTAACATGAGCCCTTGAGTCGTCATGTAAATGTTCCAGATGTAGTCATACAGGCTCATTTTCATCTGCAGTCCCTGGCAGGTTGATGGCTTACAGCTTTATTGTGCAGATTTGGATATTGGTGCCTGTGTGAGGAAAAAACGCACAATAACCTAATGAATATTTGTCCAGGTTTGTCTTATTACCAGTCAATGATTTTGGTTAAGGTTCACACATTTGGACTAAAGACTATTGGGTGCTCAATTATCCTTTGGAAATAAAAAGTTTGTTTAGATGAAACTTTTAAATAAATCACAAACAGATTTAACAGCTTGAGGCTGTTATTGACCCTTATCGAAGCTTAACACCTGAGGGTAAAAACTTTAGCCACTGAATGTCACCTTGAGTAGGCTGAGCTTTCCACATAGGCCCAGACAATGGTTAGTATATCAAATTAATAATATTAATATTAGAATGCTATTAGAAATGGCTCCATTTTTACCACCTCCTTTGTTTTTGTGCTTTAAAACCATATGTGATGGTAAAGTAAGAACAATGAAACGCAAAACGCCTCAACGGAAGCAGGGAACAATTGTTGCTGCACTGTGATTGCTCTAAAATGGATCATTATGTGTGAAGCCCCGGCTACAATCAATAAAACACTGCAGGTAATGACAGGTGGAGCCAGAATCGGGCTTACCAAGAGGCAATATGCTATCCGATCAGCAGTGTGTATGGTCCCCCGGTCTCTTCAGAGCCTGTTTGTCTGTGCTTGTTTCCAGTCGGTGGTTGCTGCAGCCTCCAGCCTCCTGTCTCTCAGCATCCCAGTGCCCAGCCGCGCCTGTTCCCCGGCGAATGGAGAGTGGAAGCCGCAGTCAGAGCGCGCAGGGCGGTACAGTCAGCCATGTGTCACCCGCATCACCGTGTTTCTCTCCGTCTCTTAACCCTCCCCGCTCCTCTCCGAGCGCACCGAACCACCAGACTGCTGCTGATGCTGCTTGGCGAATCAGAACCCACCCACCCCTCCTCTCCTCTCCTCTCCTCTCCTCTCCTCTCCTCCCCACCTCCACCTCCGCCCCGGCTTGAAAGGCAGACCCCCGTACGCTCTGTACAGACCACAGGCTGCCCCCCTCTCCTCACCAGTACCCGCCCGTCAGTACCCAGCCCAGTCCAAGCAGCTGACTCCAATGTGAATGGTGACAGATGGTGTTGGTGTGTGATGCTGCCGGGATTAGGCAATACAGCAAACAAATCCACACACCCCTTCCCTTCCCCACATACCACCACCTCCCTCCTCCTCTCCCTCTCTGCCACTTTCTCCCCCTGCTTCAGTAAGCAGCATTCTGTATCACCTTCAGCATCCTTATCTACCTTTAACTAACCACACCCAGAGCGTGGGTCTTCCTTAATGTGGTCCTCAAGACATTTCAGCAAAGGAACACATTTTCATCTCAGTCATAAGAGCACTTTACATGAATGCTTTCCTTTTCCTTCTTCCTAACAGGCTGACGGCTATAAGAATTAGTGAGATCAGAACACTAATGGCATTTGATTCAACTATTTCCCATCTGCCCTGGCAATATATCTCCAGAGCAGAGTTGCAGTAATCCAGTCCAATATGCAGCAGTAACAGCCTGACCTGGGACGCTGCCTTCCAGTGCAGCTTTCTGTCTCTTATCTGCTCCCTTTCTGTCACGCCACCGTCCATCAGAGGACATGCACCGGCTCTAAATGAACATGCAGCTGGGAATTATAAAGCCTCCTATAGTCTGTCTGTATGTGGTTAATGTTGACCTTTTTTAAGTAAAAATGGAATTGGTGGTCAAACTGCAATGGAATTTGAATTTCTGTTCACAGGATTTATACATTTAATCATTCAGCAATGGTTTTTTGCAAATTTAATCTTTATTTACGGAAGCTGGGGGGGCTCTGGTCAGCCTGTCTTTAGTAGCTCTAAAACAATTCGGACCTTAAAGTCCCCCTCTAGTCAAAGTTTTTGTTCTTGTCCCTTCAATTGGATGTTTGAGCCTCACTGTGCAGAATGATGTATGTGCAGCAGAGCTTTGATCTGGGTTTGGGTGGGATTCAGGCACTAAGCTGCTATTGTAGGTCAGGCTCTGGTCAGGCTTGGACAGAATGAGATTTATTTCTGTATTCATCTATTTCATATAAATTGTAATAAACTGTTTTTTTGTTTGTGTTTAAGTGGAAATTGGGGTTTGGGTCAGGCTAAGGGCCTGGTCCAGTATGCAGCTTGTACAGTGTGATGTAGAAACTTGAAGCCACCAGTGCACATCCACTGAGAATGGACTTTACAGTGAAGTAGGAGACATCTTGTGTCCAGCAGGAAAACTTTAGAAATCAACAACATTTGTATATTCAGAGATGAGGCAGATAGAAGTTTTAATGAGGCAGAAAGAGGAGATAACTTTTTAAGGATTTTAATGTAGAAATGCTACTTTTTTGCAGAAAAAAAACTAGACACATTATTGTTCCGAGGAGAATATTTGTATATATGTTGAAATACATGTCTGCAGGAGATCTTTAACACAAAGACAAAAATAAGTGGGAAGTGAATTGAACTGATGTTACACAGGAAAGTCTTCTTACAGATTTGGGGAGTAGTGCATATGAAAAAAGCATTTACTGTCTCCAGAGGGAGCTGTGAGAACCGTCCTAAAAAACTTTTGGACAGTTCAGTTGCATTGTGGGTCATGTAGGTGCCCAGTTTTGACAAGGAAGAAATCAGCTTGGAATAAAATAAATATTTCTGGTTCTGCTGCATTGATTGTGATCCTGTGAAATGTGTACTGCGAGGAGTCTGGCATCTGATTCACATCTGCATATATTTCATGAGCACACAGCAGATTATTGCATTTAGCCCAAGGAGCTTGGCAAGGTGGAATTACACGAGCATGTCAGATCTGTGAAACATCTGCTGGTTGAGCAATGAATACGGTCCACTAGCTGAGTTTATACAGCATTCACCACATCCTACTACAAACAGTGCTACCGCCTGATCACTGCCTTTCTCCCTTTCTATCCAGTACTCAGTGAGAGATTTTTGATGAAACCATAAAGTGCTGTGATGATTTCGTTATCCCTTGGAGACTGGCTCCAAACACATGTAAATGCTGTGATAATGCCGTGTATCTGTGGGAGAGTCATCAGCTGCAACAATCTCTTCTGAGGGCTATCAGAGCAGCACTGGAACTGTCGTTTTTCTCCGTACTGTAAAGAAAAATCTTTAGCTAACTTGCAGACAGAGATAGACATAGAGGATAAAGGAAGTGGAGGGAAATGGGAAGAAGCAGGGGACACATAGAGGCAGAGCAGATGGTAGCGCCAGTGCCCTGCAGGAGGCTGATAAAGGAGAGGTGGTCATCCTGAGGGTTAGCAGAAACAATCTCACATTCAGTCCTTTTATTGATAACACAAAATTGTTACCCTGGAGACATTTTGAAGTTCGTTTCCAGCAAAAAATAGCATCAAACATTTTGAGTTAACAAGGAGTCTTATCTTTCCTTGGTCATTTTGCTGACATGCTGCTGGTGATTCTTAACGCTCCCTCTTCTCTGTTCCAAAATGACCCAATTACATACTATATTTGTAACTGCTCTAATCAAAAGAACAAAACAGGTTGAGAAATCAAACAATTGTATTGGAGGAACCACATCCCTCAGCAGGAAGAGATACTTATTTCTACCTTAAGAAGCCAAAGAGCAAAGCTGCCATTGGACATGCAGGCTGTCTGTGGTTTTCAAACTATTTCTTTATTTGTTTTTAAATTTTGAACATTCAGTCCACACTGCATTGTATGACGCCTTGTGCCAGGATCAAACTAGAAAATACTTTTGCCATTTGAGATGATCACTGTGTCAGATTAAGTTTGCCATGAATTCTTGCAGTGCTGTAGTCAAGACCACCTTTGTCGAGTCCAAGATAACTCCAAGACCAGGACCAGGCGGGAGTCCAAGACAAGACAGAGTCCAAAGAGGTTCGAGTTCAAGTCAAGACTGAGCCCAAATGAGAAAGAGTCAAGACCGAGGCAGAAAAAAATGCTTTTGCCATTGCCAATGAGATGAGTTTTGGCAGCCAGGCAATCCTGCAACTAACAAGCTATATTATGTAAATAATACATATTTGTCATTTAGAGTGTGCATTTGTGACTTTACCGACAAATTATGACATTTTAAGTTATTACATTATGATTTGCACTTTTCCTCTCTTGCCCCAGAGGGAAAGGAGATCCATTCTCATCTGTGCTCCTCTGCCAAAGACATACATTTGCTTCTCATTTCCATAACAGTACGCAGCTCCTGCAGGAGGAACAGCCAGAACTGCTGACTCAGCTTTCTCTCTCGCTGTGTGTGTGTGTGTGTGTGTGCGTGTCGACCGAGATGATGCTTTGCCTTAGTCATCTCTAAGGTTTCTTTTATTTCTCAGCGAGATATCGGTGAGCTATTGCTGCAGTAATGGTGAGAGAAATGATTTCAGATCCAGCCGAGCATCGCTGTGCAGATCAGAAAGCTGTGCAGTTGTGTAAATTGAAAAACTAACTGATGCAGAATTATATTAAGCTTCAAATTGCTCGCATCCTTGAAGGCCAAAGCAGTCACACACACCAAGCCAACATTTACACACATATAACTGCACCAGCCAAACACATTTCTTAATTTATGTGTGTGTGCATTTGTGGGTGTATTCATTCATTGTCAGTCTTGGAGTTGGAGATGATCCTAAAAAACGAGCAAATGAATGTTATTAACCTATACAAGAAAGAGAAAATATAATTTCCTGATGAGTCTGAGGGCTGTTTCGCCCTCCAGACACAAAGAAGCAATATTGTGCGTGTACATTTTAAGACATATGAATGTGTTAGGAGTACCTGACCACAACAACCTTTCTAATAATAGAGCTTTTTTTCCCCCTAATTCATCTGTTTCATAAAGCAAGGAATGTTTATAGCACCATTCAACAAGGTAAGTGTTTTATAGAGGTCATAAAACGGTATTAAGACAAGTTATTAAAGTAAAACATGGAAATATATCTATATATCTATATATATAGATATATAGATATATATATTTAAAAGACATAAATAAGATTTAAACAGAAGAGAGAGCTGGAGTAGACCTCCAGTTTTCTGGGAGTTTGTTCCAGTAAGCAGTCCAGTTCTAGATGACCTGAGAGGTCTGGCTGGTAGCAGATCAGAGATGTGCTTTGGCTCAAACCATCCAGTTCTTTATAAACCAATCATAGTACTGTAAAATCAATTATCTAAACACACTTAAAGCCAGTGTGAAGATCTGAGAACTGGAGTGATGTGTTCCTCCTCTTGGTCTTAGTGGGGACTAGTACTCCTAATAAGCTGCAGCTGTCTGATCCACTTTTCAGACAGACCTCTGTTGGTACAACTGCAGTAGTCTAGCCAAAAAAAAAGTAAAGTAAAGTAAGAGTAAAAATAAGAGCAAGCTGCAATGTTGTTCATATGGAGTTCTGTTTGTGTCCAATATTTACTATCCTTTGATTCTGTTCTAGTCTCCACCAACTCTTCAGAAACATATCTAGCTCTTTATCTGCTAAATGCTCCACTATGTTCACCAGCTAGTTCAAGCCACTACTAAACTAATAATTATAGTCTGATATCTTGTTTTCTATGATCTGAGCTTGTGGGAACAAGTAGAAGTTGAGCAGAAGAGGCCAGACAATGGTCCCTTGGGGAAACTCGTTTTGTTCATTCAGATGTATAATTACCATTCAACCTGAAGTAGTTCCTCTCCTTCCAATCAATCTTAAACTTCAGGACAGAGCTGCAGAATGGAACATCTCATCCCAAACAACCTATTCTTACAGCTTGGACTTCTATTTGTACATATGCATTAAAAACTATGTTA